GTTTCTCCCCATCCAGACCCGTACGGCCTCCAGACACCAGGCCATCACGTCAAGGGCATCATTGGGGTGGCCTGGGGTGGAAATGTACAGCTGAGTATCATCAGCGTACTGATGGAAATCCACCCCAAAGCCACGGATGATCTCCCCCAGCGGCTTCACATAAATATTGAACAGTAAGGGGGAGAGGACCGACCCTTGTATCATTGAAGTGGATGTTGCTATGGTAAAAACAGACTAGAGTGTCTATTTTCCCTTGGTGTGGCCTTAAGCAAGAGCATCAAGGCACATAACCTAATTAGAGTGAGATAATAGTCTGTTTATCAAGTGCAGACATGTTGTTTTCAGGAGAATGGAAATTGCTGCTGTAATATATAGAATAAATGAGAGAGAAAAATCACAATTGCTTTCAGTAATATTATGAGGAAAACAAATACCTGCATGTATTTGTGTTTTGCACCTGCATCTATATAAGCTTCTTGATAAAGTTGCTCAAGTTGAGATCTGCATGTGACACATGGGTCGCCAGTTTGACACTCCTGGCATAGGGTCTCCTGCTTGAGGAGGGGGTTGGGCTAGAAATCAGGGGTAGTCAACCTTGGCTCTTTTATGACTTGTGGACTTCAACTCCCAGAATTCCTGAGCCAGCATAGCATAGCTGGCTCAGGAATTCTGGGAGTTGAAGTCCACGAGTCATAAAAGAGCCAAGGTTGACTACCCCTGGGTTAGATAGAAGACTCCAAGGTTCCTTCCAGCTCTGTTAGTCTGTTACTCTGTTAAACATCATTTATCCAAATATCGTCATAAATTATGAAAGTGGACAGTGACAGTAGGAGGACAATAATGTTTTATTTCTTTATTAAGCTATCATAATCTCCCAGTTTTTAATAATTTAATAATATCTCCTGTTGAATTTTAGGGGAGTTCATTATCGGTCGGGTTATTAAAGCTATGAACAATAGCTGGCATCCAGAATGTTTCTGTTGTGATATCTGCCAACAGGTACTGGCAGATATTGGATTTGTGAAGAATGCTGGCAGGTCAGTGTTACTTCTCCCTTGATTATAAATCTGAGTATAATGATTTTTTATAACTTTTGAAATATTTGGAAGCTTCAGTTGGTTCAAAATGTGGTGGCCTGCACGGTTTTGTGCAAGCCTCGATTTGCACATCTGTCACCTCTTCTGCAGGATCTGCGTTGGCCACCAATTTCCTTCCAGTCCGATTCAAGGTGCTACTTGTCACTGCAAAGCCTTACATGGATTGGGACTGGGTTATTTGAAGGACCGTCTTTTCTCACTGAGATCTACCTGACCCCACCAGAGCAGGGAGGCAGGGAATGCTACGGGTTCCCTCTCCTAAGGAGGTCCATCTAATGGGACCAAGAACAAGGTGGTCCTTTCGTGGTGGCTCTATCTCTATGGAGCATCATCCCTGCAAAGATAAGATTGGTTCCCACTTTTGACACTATTTTGCAAGGCCCTGAAAAGAAGGTTCTGCCAACGGGCCTGGAGAATGATATGGAGCCCATCAAGTTGCCTGTTTGATTGTTGTTGCCAGGAATTATTGTTGGGGAATTATTGCTTTTTGTATTGTTTTTATATTAGGTTTTTGTCCTTGTAAGCCATCCGGAGTCACTGGGCAGCCCTGTAAATTTTCTTAAATAAATAAGTCGCCTTTACATAATTATGTCAAGAACCTATTTCTATTTTATAATCAAAAATTGCTGAACCCATGAATTTCAGATAATAATCTCCTACTTCTTTCTTTCTTCCTTCATTCTTCCCTGAATATTTCTTCTTTTCTCCTAATCTCATGTTGGAACCAATATATGTAAAAACCAGCTTTTTTCTCTATTTTTAGTTGCAATCCAAAATTCCAATTCTTCTGACTTTTCCAACTCTCCAATTTCATGCTCTAAGAATTTTTTCACATTATATGAAATAACTGTATTTGCAACCTGTCAACTACATATTCCCATAATGTCTGCCAGGAAAACATGTAGATACATAGTAAATAATAATTGGGAAATACAAGCTGAAATTATAGTCAGAAAAGACATAATAAATTGGGCAATGCACTCACCTTGAAAGAGCAAGTCCATAGTTTGAGACTTTGACCTCTACTATCCCTAAATTCCTAGCTGATGGCAAGGAAGGTGTGTGTTTGCACAATTATGTCTATTTTGTGTTAGCTATGATCATTCCTAAGACAGTCAATTTTGCAATATTTACCCATCCTCTAATGACAGCCCAACTTGTCTACTGCAATGTACTGTATGTGGCAATACTTGTTTCCTTTCAATGGCTTGAGGTCTGCATAAGGGACTAACAATCCTGATAAATATCTCTGCAGATTCAGATAATCAGTAGAAGAAACTCTTAAAGGTGCCTTCACTTTCCAAAGACTGTCAAATGATTGTTAGTCATAAGGGAGATTTTCTCCTGTATTGATCTCATGCTGTGAAAGATGCTTCAGTTCCCATTCTTTCACATTCTAGAAAAGGAGTCAAACTTTTTCAGGGCTTTTTGGTGAATTGGTTAATATTGAATTATTTTTGTTTGTTTTTTTTTTAAAAAAAATATTGTTAGGAGCCTTGACTGCCTTTTGAAAACAATAGGAGCATATAAATCAGACTAATACCTATTGCTCTGCTTTTGCTCAAAGGTTTTTATAACCATCAATATAATTGCCCCTATACCTAAGAGATTGTGCATTTAATAACCAAAAACTGTGATGAGAGTTGGATTTATATGAAGTGTAGAAACTATTAACTGCAGGGTAGAAGACTGTATTATGCCCATTGGACTAATCCTTCACGCTTACATGGTCAAAATTAAGGCAAGTCTTTGAGATTGCTTATTTGAAAAATAGAGATCTTAATGCAAACAACTGACCTTATCTTTCCTTATAAGAAAAGGACATCATTTTTCCTACAGAAAGTAGTTAATTTTCTGATTAAAAGATTGAAATAAAACTTCAAATTGAACATTTCCCCCCCCCCCCCCCAATATTCTGATATTTCTTACTGTTCGTTCCTTGATTTCTTTTAGACATCTTTGTCGTCCTTGCCATAATCGGGAGAAAGCCAGAGGTCTTGGCAAATATATTTGCCAAAAGTGCCACGCCATAATTGAGGAACAGCCGCTTATCTTCAAGAATGATCCTTACCATCCTGATCATTTCAACTGTGCCAACTGCGGGTAATGGAAACTTATTATGAAAGAAAGTTTAACATTTAAATATTGATATCACAATGCTTGATAATCAAATTTGGAAGCAAAATATCCAGTGTTATGAAAGACAAAACAATGAACATGATATTGCATAAACTATACACATCCCCATCTTGTGTAAATCCCATTGTATTGAATAATTAAATCACTAGTTATTTATGCATAGCTTTGTTAGGATCAAAAATATATAACAGCAATTATATTTCTTTTTTTGATATGATGATATTAGCCATTCAGTCAAGTCTGACTCTTGGCAATTCTATGGGCCAGGTCTCTCCATATGCACGTGTGCATTGGCCAGCCACTGACGCAGCCCGGTGGCCAAGAAGCCATGGCCCATAGGTTGGGGACCTCTGTTCTAGATGACCGTTCTGTTCGAAATAACGGCAATGAATTATGCATATACACTATAATTTTGAAACTTCCAAACCTCTGCTCTATTTCTCTGAATTTTTCTATGCTCTGGCTGGTGTCAGCTTTGATGGTGTCTAGCCACCATGTTCTTTGACTGCCTGGTTTCCTTTTACCACTAACTCTTACAACATAAATGGACAACCATTTGTCTGAAATGGTATAGGACAGTGATGGCGAAGCTTTTAGAGACCGAGTGCCCAAACTGCAACCCAAAACCCACTTATTTATCGCCAGGTGGGCGTGGCCCACTGGGTAGGCGTGGCTCTGGTGGTCATGGCAGACTGGGTGGGTGTGGCCAAGGTGGAAATGGTCACCTCGATGTTGCTCGTGGGGAGGGACGCCTGTGGGGGTCGGGCAGGGTTGGGGGAGATCCAGGGGGTCTCTGGCAGATGGGCCGGTGGACAGGAGGCTCGTCCGTCAGGGTGAGGAAAGGCAGGACGGGGATGCCATTGTCGCAGGGCAAGGAAAGGCAGGGGCCGGGGCGGCTGCTGCCTGACACCATTGGCCCCCCCACACCGAGGCCAGCGAGCACATGGGGGCCGACAATGTCCATCAGCAGCCACAGCCTGCCGGCTCCTTGACCAGCACACTCTAGGGCTCCGCAGCCCACCGCCAGCAGTTCAGAGAAGCCACCTCTTGAGCTGGCCACCCACCAACAACTGAGGAAGCGATGCAGTGGGTCGTGCCCGGGAAAAGGAGAGCATGTGAGGCCAGGAGGGATGGGACGGGGGGGGGAGGGAAACCAGCCATGCTGGGATGCATCCAGCCACATGGGACCTCGGCAAGTTAGCGGGCAGCTGGTTGAAAAGGGATGGTTGCCATCTCCGGGGCATGGCACGTGTGCCCACAGAGAGGGCTCTGAGTGCCACCTCTGGCATAGGGTTTCCTGCCTGAGCAGGGAGTTGGACTAGAACAGGGTCCCTAACCCCCGGTCGACCAGTTCTGGGCCGTGGGCACTTAAGAACTGGGCCGTCCAGCTGGAGGTGCACTGAAAACGTGTCTTCCACCTCCAGGAATGCCGCAAGTTTGCAGGGGTCTGGGCAGGGGCCGGGAGAGTAGCAGGGCAGAAGCCATCTTGCTCAGTGCAAGGTCCTCCGCGCTTGCAACTGGTTTGCAACATCTGAGCCCTGCGTCCTTATTCCTCTCCCTCCTCCTGCTTCTTCTGCTACCTCTCCTTCTGCCTCCTCCTCTTCCTGGTCCTGCTGCTGCTGCTGCTTCTTCTTCTTCCTCCTCACTTTCCTCTTCTCCCCCTCCTGGAACCCCAACTGGGCTTGCGCTCCCTTCATGCAACTCTCCAAGTTTGCAGGACAAACGCACGCCAGCCCAGCTTGCAACCGGGGCTCCCCCAAAGCCTCATTGGAGGGGGACGCCTCCCAAAGTATCTGTGTGAGAGGGTGTCTTTCTCAGGGTGCAAATAGGGGCAGGGAGAAGCTACCTTTCACCTTAAGCACTGCGTCTCCAAGGAATCTCACTCTCGTCTGCATCTTTTCTAAGACCGTTGGGCTCTGTTGCACTTCAGCTGAATTTTTTTTGCTTTTATTTTGATGTTCCGGTGCCTCGTGTTTTGACAACATCCTGCCTGCTTTTCGAGTTTTAATTTGGTGTACTTGTGTGGTATGTGTGTGCGTGTTCCTCCTTTCTTCCTGCAGCTCTCCAAGTTTGCAAGCCAAGGCGCTCCTACCTGGCTTGTAATGGGGGAGGGTGGAGAGGAGAAGCTACATTTCCCCTTAAGCACTGTGTCTCTCTCTCTCATTTGCACCTTTTCCAAGGCTGCTGGGCTTACGCAGTGCTGAGTTGGTTTGCACGCTCCCTCCCTCTCTCTCTCTCTCTCTCTCATGGTTTTCTTAGCACTTCCTCAGCGTGCTGGGTCTTTAGTTTATTTTGCTGGAAGGCTGAGTTTAGGATTGTCTCTTTTCCTTCCCACTTTCCTAGAAGCAAGAAGTGACTGGTCTAATCTAATACAATAATAGAAATAAAGTGCATTATTTGTTTGTTTGTTTGCTTGTTTAGAAAATTTACAATAAATGTAATGCACTTGACTCATCCTGAAACCCCCCCCCGCATCCCCCCGCATCCCCCCCCCAGTCTATGGAAAAATTGTCTTCCATGAAACTGGTCCTCCAAGGTCCCTTCCAACATCATCATCATCATCATCATCATCATCATCATCATCATCATCATCATTTATTATTATTGCATTCTCTGGTGTTTTTTTAAATTAATGATAAATCTAACAGTTTTTTTTCTAAATTTGTTTAAGGCAAATTTCTATTTCTAGACCAGATGCCTAATCCAGATTGAGTTCCTTGCACTTTTACTATAAGGTTACAAAGAAATGTTATTTTTGTAAAGTAACAGTTTAATTCCTTGATCCCAAGCCAATTTCATGATCAGGTATTGTAGTCTTAATCACTGTACATTCCTCAGTAACAGCGTTTTATGTAGAAAGTAGTTGGTCTTATCTAGGTGCAGACCTGCTCTTCATCTTTGGCTCTTCTATCAAAATGTCATTTTCTCAGGATAAGGGAATCTAGTACATGTGAACAGCACAGTATTGCTTATGAAACCACACATGTGAACTCTACTTTTTCAATTTCATGGCAAGATGAAATTTCATTTTGAAGGCCATGCATTCCCAAAATCTATATCTAAATCAGGATGGGCAACGTTGGCTTTCTTTATTTACTGAATTTCCAACAACTCCTATGTCCAGTAATGAGCAACGGTGGTTCTCCTTTGTCAACAATTGGATGATTAGAATGTCCCCAACCTTGAGCTAAACATTATAGTAATAGACTGACCAACATATATCATTCTAGACTAATGCCTAGATTAAAAGCCTCCCCCATGTCTAATAAAGTGTTTTCTGTGGTCTGTACACACACCAATTACTATAATTTTTGGTGAGAAAAATGACTTTTTCAGAAAATGTCTAGCCACATTTGAAGTGACTATATTTCAATTCTTTCTTTGATTTGTGAACAGAAAGGAACTGACTGCAGAAGCTCGAGAACTGAAGGGGGAGCTGTATTGCTTGCCTTGCCATGATAAAATGGGGGTCCCCATCTGTGGAGCATGCAGGAGACCAATCGAAGGGCGAGTAGTAAATGCTATGGGCAAGCAGTGGCATGTTGAGGTAAGCTTTTTGTTTCTCTGTTAGTGTATTTATAGGTATTTTCAACCTGGAAGATTCAAGAAGAGTCTTCAGAACATTTAATAAACACTATGTCATTTTATAGCGAGGAGCCTTTATAATGATCTAATCCATAAGCTCTTCCACTGTAAGAATGGAAATGTTTGACTTCCTGAACTGAAAGAAAAAAAAAAGAATATTCTGATAGTAAAACCATATTGTGAAGTATGTGGATGATACAACAGTAGTGAGCCTTATTCAAGATGACAGTGAGGATGCTTACTGCAAGGAGGTTGAGGGTTTGGTGAACACTGGTGTAAGAGAAACAGCCTGGTTTTAAACATTGGTAAAACAAAGAGATTTGCATGTATTTGAAATCTGAGTGACTGGTTTCAAGTACACATGCTTTTATCTCCTCTTAGTATTTTTAAAATAATGTGACTTTTCTAGTATTATAAAATTATTATTTAATTTCCCATCATACACTCAGTTGTGGTATTAAGCTAAGAGAAAGGGCAAATCTCAGAGAACATTATGTATTTATAGAGTTTTATACAAAGGATTGCATACAGCAGATTCTGTTTCGATCAGATCAATCTGAATTTCTGGATCACACCATTGTTTATAACAATGTGAATTCAGGAGAGAATGAAAGGAGAAAGAGGGCCAATTATTTCCAGACTGTAGATATGTGCTGCTTTTTTACTTCTTATGAAGTACGTGGAAGACTCTTGGAGATCCTTTGGCCTAATTCAATGCACTGCATAGGCCTGTTTCCATTACAGCATCCAGGTGGGTGATCGTCCAATCTCTGCTCAAATGTCTTCACAAAAAAAAAGGACTTACGAATAACTTTCTTCTAAATTAGACTCACATACTATTGTAAAGTTTCCTCTAGAAATCTTCACTAAGTCAGTGTAAGTTAGGCATAGGAACACTTTTTAAACTATTAATTAAAATTTTGAAATTTGCTCTGGAAATCTTAGAAAGTAGCCTTTCAAAACCAAGGTGTAAGGACATAGATGCTAAGCTAGTGGGATTTTTTTTGTTACACAAGCAAGAGGAAGGCCAGTCTTCCTATAGTTTGCTCCCGCAAAGCTTAATTTGATATCTTAATGTTTACATAGAGACTGATGCTTTGTGGAAAATTATTTTACTTAAAAATAAAGGTAATTCCTTTTTACCCCATAGCATTTTGTTTGTGCCAAGTGTGAGAAACCATTCCTGGGTCATCGTCACTATGAAAGGAAGGGGCTGGCGTATTGTGAAACCCATTATAATCAGGTATGGTTGCATCTTGCACTTTGCGTTTTAAATCTCATCCAGGGACTCTCAATACTTTAAGTCTAAAACTGCAGTTCATAAGAAATAAGGCTGATATATGCCTACAATGACCATATGTCTTTTATTTCAGAAAGTTGTCCTCTAGATTTATTTTCTTGATTTTGTTTTTGAATTTTCCTTTCTAAAGCAAAATTATAAATCTAAACAATTAAGCTTTTTTATTTTTATGAGCCCCTTTGAGATTTGTCCCCTTTTCAGGTTTATTCTTTTTTTCCCAAGAAAATATGCTCATTGTATATGTGCCCTCAAAACATTTTTATGGAGGTATTAACAGTTTCCTAATTTCCATCTTATTTTTTGTGAGAATAAAGCAAGTTTCAAATTTGAAGTGGTTTTTCTTTGTTTGCTCAAAACACTCCATTTCTGCTTTAAAAGAGTTAGAAGGTTGAAGTATCTCTTTCTGATCATTCTGGAACATTCTACTTCAAGTGTGAATCTAGTGTTTTGAACTCACCCATTTCAAGTTCAACACACTTGCAATGATTATAACCTGGTTTGAATCTGAACAAGTTAGCATGTGTTGAATGTCAGTACTTCAATCCATATTGTGTAGAAGCAGGTATTCCCATAGCTTTTCTTTTAATTGTTTAAAAAGAATAGTAAAATATGTGATATCCTGAACCAGACATGTCAAACTTGCAACATCACATGACGTCGCATGACATATCGGAACTTTTTCCCCATTGCGTGGTTTTGTTGTGATGCGTCTGGCCCGTGGGCCGGCAGTTTGATACCCCAGTCCTAAACCAGGGTTTCTCAGCCTTGGCAACTTTAAGATGGGTGGACTTCAACTCCCAGAATTCCCTAGCCAGCATTCGCTGACTGGGGAATTCTGGGAGTTGAAGTCCACCCATCTTAAAGTTGCCAAGGTTGAGAAACACTGACCTAAATCAAGGTTCCTGAATATTTGTGGGTGGCAAAATAAAAGACAAATCCCAAATACAAAATAATGTTTTGAATCATTTAGTATTTTGCTTGAAAGGAAGCTCATTTTATAGAAAAGGGACTGATGAGGCTAAATGATAAGTAGCTTGCTCAGAATATTGAATATATGGGAGAATTGGACCTCAAACCCAAAATTAGTATTTTGAACTCATGATTCCCTCTCTTGTTAAGGTTCTGTTCCTCCAACTTTTTTTCCTCATCCTACCCTTACAGCATTCAAGATCTACTCAGTCTAGTTATTTTTCTCTCACCATTGTCACTTTTTACACACATGCTTCACAGACCCATCCCTCCTCCTAACCCTTCCTGTTTCTTAGCAATGCCACTCCCTGGTCCTCCGAATTTAACTGCATAACGTTTTTTCTTCTTTTTTTCTTAGAAAAAAACAACAGAATTTTGGCATAGACTCAGAAGCAGAATGTTGACTTTTAGCTGTTTGCTCTCTTCCTCTTCTAATTGAAGAATGCCATGGGGCTGCATACATATTGTGGGAAGTGGAGGAAAGAAAAGCTGAAATTACTTTTAGGGCAGAAAAAATATTTTTAATTTAACAGAGATTTTAAAATCAAGAATAGCAAGCGATCTGAAATCTCTGTGATGCCCCCTAGGTTTTTTATTATTCAATTATAAACTTTGTATTGTGCCCAATTGAGTTGAATGCTCCACCAAATAATGACTTAGAGTCACAGCTTTATTCATTATTACTTTTTACAGAATACAAAATGTGCCCCAATCCCTAAGAACTCTGGGTGGCATACAGCATCTACAAAAAGAAAACTCAAAATGTAATAATAAGTACGTGCAAACAATGTTCAAAATAAAAAAAAGGCAAGAAGCAAAAAGAAATCTAAATAAGCCCCAAGATAGCATATACATGTTAAAAAAGGGGGGGAGGGGTGGTTAATATCAAACCTTGGGACATTCCACAGCTGAAGGATCATGGGTGTGATTTCTTCCTTTGATCAACAGTGGTTGACAGTATCAAAAGTCTGAGAAATCAAGGAGCACCAGGATGAATGCACACACACCCCGTTGCAGCCCCATCAAAGATACTTGATAGCAACCATTGTTGTCTCCCTACTCTACCCCAGCCTGAAGCTCAACAGATACAACTCCAGATAATCCGTTTCCTTTAAGATTGTCTAGCTGCCATCCAACGACTTTCTCTACAACCTTCTCCGCAAATGTTTTTAATATGTTGCATTACTAATTTTATTTCTAATATAAATTCTGACTGGGACTTATACTTTCCATTTCCACAGCTCTTTGGTGATGTGTGTTTCCACTGTAACCGGGTGATTGAAGGTGATGGTGAGTTTCCATAGATATGAAGTTAGTCCTCAATTTACGACCACAACTGAGCCCAGAATTTCTGTTGCTAAGTGAATTTTGTCCCATTTTACAACCTTTCTTGCCACAGTTATTAAGTGAATCACTGCAGTTGTTACATTGGTGACAGGATTGTTAAATGAATTGACTTTGCTTGTCAGAAGGTCACAAAAGGTGATCACATGACCCCAGGACACTGCAACCGTCATAAAAATGAGTCAGTTGCCAAGTGGCTGAATTTTGACCATGCGAGCATGCAAAGTCAGAAGTGTGAAAAATGGTCATAAATCACATTTTTAGTGCCATTGTAACTTTGAATGGTCACTAAATGAATTGTTGTTAGTCGAGGACTACCTGTACTTTTCTCATCATTAAAACATTCATTTCAAAGTAAAATACTCCCAAATACTATAATCATGAAATACCCAAGATGCTGAATATGGGCCTGAAAGCATTTAATGTATTTTATTTTTGTATATTTAAACAAATGATACACAATCCATTCCCTCAGTGGATGCACATCTGTATTATCCATTAGTCACATAGCCACAATGCCTGATATCTTCAAAAGTTTGGGGCCTATGAAAATGTATGATATGAAAATATGAAACTTATGAAAGTAAAGCAATCAAAATTTGTGCATCTTAAAATTAAACCTATCTAGGATAATATTACTAATTTTTATGCATATTCTTGCTGACACGTATTCCATGTGACTTATTAATGAATGTAAGTCCAGGGAACATCTTTATAATCCTAAGGTTATGGATTATTACTGCAACAAAGATAATAATTACAACAACAGCGAAAATATAAATGTGTCTAGAGCCTACAAGGCTTAATGCTTTAATGCAGCTCTGAGTGGATCTTTCACACGTTGCTTTTTCCCCCCTTTCAATCAAACATATCCATAAGTTGCCTTTTAATCAGAATAGTTGTAGCACAATGGTTAACAGTTAGGGTTAGAGAGCCAGCTTGATCTTGGGAGACTGAGTCCTAATCTGTTTTAGGCAGCGAAAGCTGGTTGAGTGTCCTTGGGCCAGTTATTGTTTCTCAGCCCACCATGTCAGGCTCAGGCAACAAGCCAGCCAGTCAATTCTTGTTGCAAGGAAAATGACTTATTTATCTTCATCAGGGCTTTTAAAACCATATTCTACGGAAATCTGGGGTTCTTTGGACACTCTTAGCCTTAAATATAGTAAAAACAGACAGAATTTGGGAAAGTAAGGTTGTTTCCATGGTTAGAATGCAGTACTGCAAGCTACTTCTGCTGCCTGCTTGCTGCCTGCACTTTAGCAGTTCGATTCTCACTGGCTCAAGGTTGACTCAGCCTTCCATCCTTCTGAGGTCGGTAAAATGAGGACCCAGATTGGTGGGGGGCAGAATGCCGACTCTGTAAATTGCTTAGAGAGGGCTGTAAAGCACTGTGAAGCAGTATATAAATCTAAGTGCTATTGCTATCAAGAGAATGTTAATTGGGTTCTAGGCTTTTTTTTTTTTTAGTTCAGACCATTGCTGATTAGAAATGCCCAATGCTTTGATGGCATCTTTTTTTCTCGAGCAAAACTGGAAGAGAATTTTTCTCAGACCTTCAGGGTAAGATTATAGAAAATCATTTTTAGACACTTGGCTTAAATATTTAGATGTGACTACAGAGGTTTCATAATCTTGAAGTTGTACCTTTGGACTATTTTTCTAGTGATTTATAGTAAACAGTGATTTTTAGTAAATGAATTACAATATTTTGCTTATCTAATATAATACTTCATCTTGAATGTCTTACAGACATATACAAGAGTGTGGTGGTTTTAGTAGGCCCACCATATTTGTCCTGAAAAATTCAGGACACCTACTAGGTGCCAACAGAGTTAGAGTTTGTAATGTCTTCAGTGTGGTCATCTGACTTGGGGAAAATTCAGATATCATCAATAGTAAGGCCTGGAAATTACTCTTCCTGAATCATTCTATAGGGTGTTGTAGACTTTTCTACTACAGAACACAATGTAGAAAGATTTCCCTAAAATTGAATATTTAAAAACTGTAGACTTAGGCAAATGCAGTGAAGACAACACTTGGAAAGAATTCTGCATGCTTGTTTTTGACTGATAACAATTGTAGTATATAAAGGCAAGTCTTCAGTCAATTTTCATATGTTTAGAATCAGTTTGGTGAACACTTGGGAAGGACTAGACAGTTACAAGATACTGTAAGGGAAGCCAGGTTTAATCCCTATATTTTACACAGGGTGGCAACAGCAGAACAAATAACTACTTACCATGTCTAGGCTCCAGGCAGAACTGCCTGTAACAGACATCCATTTACATGCCATGGAAATCTGTAATGTTAGACTATATGTGATGATTTGGACAATCTTGTATTTGTCAATTTCAATATTGGTTCCATGACACAGGCTATGAATGTATGATAATAAATGCAGTCAGTTTTGTTGACGACTTTGGATTCATCTTGTCTTTTCTTTTCTCTTTTGTAGTTGTCTCTGCCTTGAATAAAGCATGGTGTGTAAACTGCTTTGCATGTTCTACTTGTAACACCAAGTTAACACTGAAGTAAGTATATCCGTTGGGGAGATAATCATAGAATTGATGATGTCACTTGTAAATTGAGGATTCTTTTGGAAAATATTTATGATTGTTGCAGCAAGTCTTGAGGAAGAGATGAGGCACACCAGGGCCTTGTCCAAACAAGACAGAAGCCAGGTTGTGTTCTTTAATGCAGTCGTCTTTCATCAGTGCTTACTTTGTTCAGGAGTTTATATTGTTTGCTTTACATTTTTGTGGAACAGAATAAGTAGAAAGCTGTTGTGATTCCACGTAGAGGACAGATTACTATACATTTCTATTGACTTTGCAGCTGGATAGAAGTCAAAGAAGTTCAACAGCACAGTTGAATGCAGTTCAGGACACAGCAACTGTAAATTTAATGAGTTGTTCAGGTTGCTCTTTAAGACAAGAGATTCAAAGTATCCCCCCCCCTTTCTAGAATATCTGGAGTGTATTTGGGGCAGGGTGGATTTGATTTAAATCAAGTCAATTTAAATCATGATTTAAATCACTATAAAAAGGCTTGATTTAAATCAACTCAATTTGAATCATAATTTTTAAAGAGCAATTGTCATCTCTGTTCCACAGTGGCTCTTCCTCTGATCCACTATTGACTCACCAACAGTCCCATTCACTTTAATGGGACGGCTGGTGATGCGGCAGTGACACAACAAGGTGAGGGACGTGGCGGGCAGCAGGTGAGCAGATGCCCGCTAACAGGCGCTACCATGATGGATCTTTAAATGTAAGGACTCATTCTTACTGGTAGTTAGAATCCTTAATATTATTATTTGCTAACAAAATGAAGGTTTCCTATTTAGAATAATAAGCTGTCAGGTTAGTAAAATAATAAACTGTCAGGTTAGCGATATCAGAACCGATTTTAGGTTAATGGGTTAATCACACATAGTTGGAGAACTACTCAAATTCTTTTATTTAATTAAAATACTTAGAGCCTGGTACAGATGCAATTCTCTTCAAAGAATCATACAGTTTGTAGTGTACATAGATTTGCAAAACAATGGGATAAAGGAATATTCCTGAACTTCGCTTTATGATTTATCTCATTGTTACTGTGAAATTGTGTGAATGCATCGATGCAGTGCATGTTATCTCAGCTTGCAGAGGTTGGATTCACTGAATTGAGTTTACCAAAAATGTAAATATTGCAGAATATACAGTCTCATGCTACATAACTAAGCTCCATTTCATGCTGAATAAACTAAATTATTAATGTATCTTAAATAGAAAACTATCTTTAGAAAGATTTTTACTCCAAAAGCATTTTATTAAAATAAATTTGATAAAAATAAAAAAAAATCCAATTTAAATTTAAAAAATCCATTTTTTATTTTTATTTTTTAAAGAACCATTAATTATTATCTACCCTGATTTGGGGCATATCTTTTATCTTTAGAAACACAGGTAGTCCTTGATATAAGACCACAGTTGGGTCTGGAACTTCCATTGCTGAGTAATGCAGTTGTTGACTTGTGCCTGATTTTATGATCATGGTGATTACATGGATCACACAGTTGTTAAGCAAATCTAGCTTCCATTTGGTTGGGGAGAAAATGGATCAAGATAGCTCCTCCCTAGAAGATCTCAGAGTATATCTTTAATGGTGTGTGTAGTTTGGCAAGATTTCTATGGATGAGGAACAATAAAGGAAACTGCTTAGAAGTAACTTTGTGTCTTTGGTTTTTGGAGCCTGATGTAACTACATACCAGTTGCCAGATGCTTGAACCGTGATCATGTTATTGTGGGGATGCTGTGGAAGGACTGGTCATAAGTCACTTTTTCTAGCTCTGCTGTAGCTTTGAACTGCCACTAAATGAATGGTCGTGAGTTGAGACCTCTCTCTAGAAGAGCTGCCCTTAAAATCTTAGACTTGTACTCCATGGCGGAATGCACTTTTTAAGCTTGCTGTGATAAAGAGTATTTCATAATAATACAGTCCATGGAAAATAACAAGGATATCTTTTCCTATGAGTATATTCACTACTTTCTTTTTATTTCTATTTTTCTGCAGAATTCTTTCTACTTTACTTGTATCTTGATTCTTTCTTGTTCTCTCCTCCATTCCTTCTTTGCTCAACCTGAAAGGGACAAATTTGTTGAAATCGATCTCAAACCTGTCTGCAGACACTGTTATGAAAAAATGCCAGAAGAATTTAAACGGAGACTTGCCAAACGGGAGCGTGAAGCCAAGGATAAGGATAAACATAAAAAGAAAAAGCCTGTCTGTCTGTAAAGCTTTCATTTCTACCTTTCACCAACTGTGCTCCTCCCTTTCTTTGGTTAGTCGGTGAAAATGTTTTCTTTGTGCTTCTTTTCTTATGGTGCGCAAAACTATGTTTTTAAATGTCTAAATGATGAATTTCAACACATTCAGCCCCAGGTCTAGACTGATAGGTATTGTTCCCTGTGATCAGACTTGCCTTTTCCTCCCTCATCCCCCACCTCAGCAGTTTGCCCCCAAAAGAGTCCTTGATTGCGAAATGCTTTTCTGCAGGTGCAGGATGTACTTGTTTCTACTAAATCAGATTACGTTTTATAATTCATATGGAGATTTATATAGAAAATGGATTCTTCCAGATAAGTTTGTTTTTTGCTTTGCATCATTCATTGGAGGGTGGGTGTGTGTGTGTGTGTAAAATTTTGTATTTTAATTTGTGATATTCCTGTAATTTCTGCTGCATCCAACCTAATTTGTTCCATATCAGTTGAGGAAAAGATAAAATAGCTACATGAAATCTTTTGATGGATCCCCAAAGCATCATTTACCTTGCAGTCATGAAACTATTGGTTGAAATTCATCAGTTGCAAGCATTCATTCAGAACAAATCTATTGAGAAAATGTGTAACATATTAACTTAATACATGTCTTTTTTAAGGTAAGAGAGATATAGACAAAAAAAGTTCTTTGAAAAAGCATTAATATCATATATGCTCCAAGTGAAAGTTAGCCTTTTACCATATAGATCCATTATTACGTTATATAATTGCAGATGTGTAAAGTCATTGTATATGTCATCCATTAACACTATCCATATAATGGCGAATATCTGTAACTCAGATGTAGGATGAGGGTGAAGGTTCATTCTCCAAGTTTGTGGATTGGTTTCCTCATGTTTCGTTACCAGGCTAGGTAACATCTTCAGCAGAATTTAGGGGATGTCAGTGTTTTTCTGTTTATAAGGACTTCAGGTGTGAGTGTGTCAAGTAAGGGTCTTGTGATGGTCTCCCACTAAGAAAAGCAGAAGAGAAACAGCTGCTTGACCTCTTTCTCCTTAACAGCTATCCAAAAAACTCTGTATTCCAACACACAGCCCAAACCACATCACACAGCCAACCACCATGCAAAAACTAACCCTACCATACACAAAAGGGGTGTCAGAAATGACAGCCAGAATTCTCCAACCTCTAGGAATAGTAATACCCCACAAACCCACAACCACACTCCGCCAGGAATTATCCAGAACCAAAGACAAGATACAGAAGGAGGAAAGAAACAATGTAATCTATAGAATCAATTGTAACCATTGCAACCAATTCCATGTGGGACCAACATCCCATCAGTTAAAAACCAGGATCCACGAACACCGGCTGGCAGTCAAACACCACGATCCCAAATCCTTAATCTCTACCCACACTGACACCAAACAACACCAGTTCGATCGAAACAACACAAAAATTATTGGCCACACTACCCACCCGCCATGCTCATGAGTTCATCGAAGCCTGGCACTCCAAAGCAATTCCATCAACAGACACTTCGACCTACAACCAGCCTACAAACCCTCAGGATCCAAATAAACCACAAAGCCAACCAACCGTCAACCAACCCACGCAAGCCCCCCTTCCCAACAGGAGTTCACCTTCCAACGACCCTGACCTGATGTAACCTCCCCATCACAAGACTCTCACTGATGACTCACACCTGACCCATCACAAGACACACCTGAAACCCTTATAAACAGAAGAACACTGACACTGTCATCCCTTAAATTCTGCTGAACATGTTACCTAGCCTGGTAATGAAAGTTTGGAAACCAACCCACAAGCTTGGAGAATGAACCTTTACTCTCACTGTCCATATAATTCTACACTCTGATGTTAAGAGATGAGAAAGCAGTCCCCCTTGAAGAGAAACTTTTGGTTAGACATTATCTGAAGCTTGTAGCTCTCTATTTCATACATGGCTGCACAGTAGGGTGCAGTTTTAAAGTCATTTTAAAAAGCCACTTTCTTGTGCAAACACTAGTACAAAAATGCTACAAGTTTTAACTTCTAGATCTGTATACATTGTTTTGATTGTGGAGCTGTGCTAGGTTTTTTTGCATAGGTTTATCCCATTATGTTCAAGAGGATTATACTGAGAAGCCCCTACTCAAAAGTTAAGTGTGAAAGCACCTAAAGAAAAATTAGAATAGAGGTGGGGAACTGTCAACCTTCTAAATACCAATCTTTTCTCAAAGTTGTAGTGGTATCTCACAGGATCCAATGCATTCATCAAAATAATAGAAGTCTCAATGAAAGCCCCCATTCTATTGCCGTGTGTGTGTGTGTGTGTGTGTGACATGATAGTGTGATTATAAAATGGATGGAGCTTGTGAGCAGAGCTGCTTTCATTCATGCCACAGATGTCTCTGCAAAACTTCTCAATGCATTTCCTATCAATAGGAGAATTTTCAACAACTTTGGGAAGCAGGGCAGCATGGCATAAATTAGCTAAACTCTGCTACAACCAGTCAGTTCTCCCAGCTGCTTTCATCAGCTGCCAAGGATGACCAAGCATTACCAAGTTTGTTTTTGGCAGCTGATCTCATTGATCTATAGTTCTTTGATGTGCCCTTCCTGTTAGCAGCTGTTCCAGACAATTGGAAGTTCTAATTAGATACCTGAAATGCTCATCTTCCACCCTTAGCAGTTGGCTGAAGCACTCAATGCTTCTCAGGATCTTTCCTGGTTCCGAAACATCAAGATGGCAAACGTTATGAAACTGAGGAAGAGTCATAGAAAAGTTTATTTTTTCTGTATATTATGTTGGAAGACATGGTGGTGAAGAGAATCATGCCAGAAATGAAATGTATTTATACTGAGGTAGGGTGGTTTTCTGGAAAAAAATAATAAAACGATTCTTACTCTAGCAAGAACATTCTTAAGTTTTAATAGGATGGAGAGATTTATTGGGATGTGTTTTCTGACAGATGTTAGCCAAGTCTCAGATTCTATAAAGTTCTGCTGCTCCTGATTTAAACAGAATTTTTTGAGAATTCATTGTGTTTTTACAATTGTAAGAGAAAATAAGCCTAACTTATGGTGAATTGTGAATATTAATTTGTATTGTGGAGATTAATTTTCAACAACATAATTTTTTTTTCAGAAATAAATTTGTGGAATTTGATATGAAGCCTGTCTGTAAGAAGTGCTATGAGAAGTTCCCACTGGAGCTCAAGAAGAGACTGAAGAAATTGGCTGAAACTCTAGGAAGGAAATAAAATATTTAATCTAGCTATTCAAAATTAAGAAAATGAGATTCATATTCCCACTTATTTTCACTGTGTTTATGAACTCTATGCTCTTAAAAAATCCCTTTGCATGACTAGCTTAATATAATATATACCTTGCCATAAAATCTTTAATGTCTTATGTAATGCTATATGTACCCTTTAAATTATGCATTCTATGTTTATATAATTTTTAGATAACTCAGTCATAAGTGGAAGATTAAAACATAGCCTTTAAATTGCAATCAGTTTATTGGGCCACTGGTGCTGATCTCAAATGAACATAATTTAGCACAGTCTCCTCTTACCTAGAATCTTCAAAATGTGCTGAGCTTTTAATGTCCAGAATTTTCAACCAGCCCTACAGATTAGGAAAGCAAATTCTCTTGGCAAATAATCCAGATCTCAGCATCATATGCCTGCTAGGGAGCAATTGCTGGAGCAAAACAAAGTAAAACTTTAAGGATAACAATTTATAATCACTAACCTGTAAATCCCATTCAACTCATCGGTCTCAGCTCTGTAGACAGATATAGGATTACATGGTTAAGGATATAGAAAAATTCATGGGCTCATGGCCATAGTATTTACTAATACAGATAGGGATAATTTTTCAAAAAATCAGACTTGTGTGATGGCTTTGAAGCATATTTTATCTAATAAGTTTTATATTTCATATTATTTAGGATCAAAGGAAAGGAGATGTCTTTCGTTTGATTCTAAACTCAACTCTCATGTTAAAAATTATGAGACAAAAGACTACAGATTTTTTTGTAGGCAATGAGTTCTTATTTAATCTCAACTTATGAATTGATAACACAATGGTTTTCCAATATTATATTATTGTCCTAAGGAAAATGGCAATAATATAAACAAATATTCTGAAGATTTAAGAAGAGTCTATAGTCTATCAGGGCATCTTGTTGATTCTGTCCGCTAGCTCAACAGAAAATTTAAATTATTGAGATCTTTTTAAAAAAAAAAAATAAAAGTCAAATTGGGGGTGAATTGTAATCAAATCTTAGCCCAAACTATCATAAATGCAGAAATGGTTTGTTCAGAAAGTTTCTGATAACTGTAGTTGTTTGAGAGCTGCAGTGAATGCTTTTAGATTCTGTTGAGCCTGAAGCCCAAAGTGTGAGATGCCAACATATTTCTGTGTCAACAGAGTTCACCTACTTGAATTTTGTAAGAATTTTTTCTTGGATCTTTTGGTATTTTATTTCACTGTGCCTTAATTATGCTGTATATTTACAATATTAATTAAAATATTTACTCATATTATTTTATTAGATAATATATGCCTTATACTCTAGGAAATGCCATATACTAAACATTTTGAACTTTGTTTAAAATAATGGAAAGTATTAAGGATGCAAAGGACATTTCCTTCCCCTCTTCAGCTCACTTATTTTTAAATTGAAATGAAATAAAACCTGAACATATTTCAATTATGGACATATATTGTATTAATGAATCAACAATATTGCAACAGTCATCGGTTATTTAAACTTAGACAGGACCTAGATCAGCGGTTCTCAAGCCCATTTGGGGTCGATCGACCATTTCACGGGGGTCGCCAAGCAAGGCTGTCCGCCATTTTTTCCCCCTTTTCCGGCGGGTGCCTTACCTCCCTTGAGCTGGGGCAGCTGGTGGTCGGCCTGCTCCGTCTCTGCCTCTTGCCAGCTACGCCTCGGCCGGCGCAGGGGGTGGAACCACACATGCACGGCGTTCCTGGGCAGGGAAAGTCCTCAACTTACGACCGGTTGGGGGTCGCGGCATTAAAAAGGTTGAGAACCACTGACCTAGATGAATATTGCAATATTAAGTACTTGGAAATAAAATCCCTTTGAATTCAGTGGTGTTTAGGCTTATAATAATCTATTTATCTAAAACAAACACTTTGAACTCAAAGGGATTTACCTATGAGTAACAATGTAGATTACAGTTTTTGTTAAAAAAAAAAATCTGAATTCCAAAGTACAATATATATTCTAATAAACTATTTTGAATTTTACAACTGTGAAGTTTAAAAATCTTACAGTATAAAAAATCTTAATGCTAAATAATATAACATATCTACCCAATATCAAGTATTTAAAGAGATTAAAGCATAAACCTCAATCCTATTAACTTTAATTTCTATACTGTGAACAATAATTAAAGCATCCTGCTGCAGAGAATTGTAAAAGCCAGAACACCCTATAGTGGGGGTGGACAAACCCAAGGACACCTAAGCTGTATCACCAAAGTTCAACAATAAATAACCAACTTTAGTAGTGGTCAATTACCTTATTCATGTACATCAGTCCCATGGAAATAGATTTCTTAAAGATAGTTGATAAGGAGATACCTACATAGAAAAAAGAGGAAAAAAGAAATTTTGCAAATATTTCTATTGAAGAAATCTTCAGGGAAAGAATTCTGGCTTGGGAGTAGTCAGGTTTTCTATCCCACAGAAAGGATTCTTTTGTGGCAGAGGGAATAAATACTTAACTTTGCACTATCTGGTTTGGAAATTACTTAAGAAGCATCCAGGTGCCTTTATATGGCACATGTTCATCTACCTTTAGTTTTTAACTTGGTGGAAAGAACTAGATAGTGTGGGAGGTTGATAGCCTCAAACATGAGAAAATGAATGTGTCTGATCTATATAACACTTACAATGGTATTTCTATGCAAATGCATATAGATCAAACATGGATATTTATTGGAAAAAATAAGAGAAGTGCAGCAGGGTTGTATCCTAGTGCCATTTCTCCCCCACCCCTTTTCCCCCCATCATCTATTGGCCAAGGAGCTACTGTATTCTGTTATATGCAGTTAATATGGCTTTCAACTACACAACGTAGTTTATGCAGATTTTGAAAACCTTGAGCAAATTACAAGTTACAGTCACTTGTAATTAACTATGTCAGTAGATGGGAAAAGAAGATAAGAGCTTTCCTAATTAGTGTTTTTGATTACAGTGCTTCTCCAACAAATATTTTAAATTTCTAATTTCTGATTTCTAATATATCCAGTGTCCTTAACACATTACTCATTTATACACATTAATTTCCATATAGAGCTTTAACTACCTCATTCGAACTGGAGTTTCCTATCACTGCTTTGATACACTCACTCAGACAACTTAATGGTACTTTCACTTTTAGACTTGCTTTTAATTCAGAGAAAGTGGATAAAAATAACTTCTTCCTTGAACTTCGTGGAATTCCAATCCTTTGGTCAAGCTTTCCTCATGTACTCCCAGTCTGTCCTTTCCAAATACTTCACTCATTTTCCACTAGCCAGTCCACTCTGCACATCATTCTTTCTGATTCAGCTTACTCCTCAGTTCCTCCTTTCTCCAACTGTTCCTTGATTCACACAGCACCAACCTACTGCATTTGCCCTTATCTATCTCCACTAAAACTTAAATATGCCTGTTCATATGTGTCTTTAATTAGGCAAAAAGCATAGCATTGGGAAAGACAAAAAAATCTGATTAATCAAGATTACTCAATATTACTTTATAATGTCCTAATCAGGCATCTCACCTGCCCATCTACCCTAAAACCAAGATAGTGATGGTTGGGTTTTTTTTTTTTTTTTGCCAAACGACAATATTGATGACAATATACTGGACAAGTAAATTATTTTAAATAACTTGGTATTTACTTTTCCCAAAAGTAAACTTTTATTTTTGCCATCATCTCCACACATAACTTATGCTAAAATGAGGGCCATGTCCAAAGGCTGAGGGTGGAAACGTCATCATTAAAAAGAGGCTGAAATATATCACTGCAGTTTCATGAACTGTGGTACATATCAGAGACAATAGCAATATTTTTATGGTCAGCCACAGTTTAGCAAGCCTGTGCTCTCCACCCAATGAGCTCAATAGAAACATGCCTGACAGAAGGGCTAAAAAGGTGACAAAGGCTGCCAGTTTACTGATGTCCATTGATACCAGTCAATTCTCAGCCTTTTCCATGGCACTCATGCTATTTCCAATAATCTCCAGAGTGACAAACAATGCAAGAATGGGCAGGAGCCAGATACAATCCTAAACATTATTCTCACATTCTTTTACTGATTGCTATTTCTTAAGTCTGATGGAAAGGAGAAATCATGGCCTACCAAGTTGGCCAGATATCCTATCATAGGGTCAATCCCTAGGTTAACCAACATGAGCCATGGTGACACAATGGTTAGAATGCAGTATTGCAGGCTAATTCTGCTGACTGCCAGGGGTTCAATCACCGGCTCAAGGTTGACTCAGCCTTCTATATCCTTCCAAGTTTAGTAAAATAAGGACCCAGTTCCAGATTGTTGGGAGCAATATGCTGACTAAACCGCTTGGAGAGGGCTGTAAAGCACTAAGTGCTATTGTTATTACTATATGTGATTTGAATATGGCTCTGAATCACTATCACCCAGATCTTTTGCATTCAATTTCTTTATCCATACCATTAATAAAAATTAATTTTGCTAAGAAGGTAGCCAGAGCTTGGACAATATAAACCTTCTTGGTAAAGCCTATCAGAAAGAAGACAGAACTTCCATTAATATTCACAGGACTGATGAAATATTGTGAGAAAACAGGAATGTTAATTATAAATTTTAAAATTATTCTGCAAATACCTCAAATAAGTTTCATAAAAAAATTATCTAACATTGCCTTTAATTTCTGTTAAGTGAGGCACAGACAGTAGAGCTTGTAAAAGTAGCTAAACTAGGTTTTATTACAGTACATAAAAATATTATTTCATTAGAAAATTGGTGCACCATAATATATGTGGAAAAGAAAATATCGTCCATGCCAATTTGTGGGCTTCAAATAGCCATTTTCTGACAATAGACGTTCCCTTCTTTGCCTCTGTATATGTAACTGCTCCGTAATGTACAGTACTAATTCTGTGCTATCAAGCCAGTGTCGCCTCTAAGCGACCAGATAGGTAGATTTCTCCAGGGTGTAGGAAGGCAGAAAGCAGTATTTTTTCCTTGCTGCCTTATGTTCCGAAATAGCTTTCTTCCACTTCCTGGATTTCGCTACCGTTTCCAAACCTAATTCTTCCCAAACACGGAAACCTCGCTCCCACCAGGCTCTGCGGTAAAATGTATGTCAGCGTCAATCTCAGCGACTTTAAGACGTGTGGACTTCAACTCCCAGAATTCCCCAGCCAGCACGAAAATGAGAGGGTTTTTTTTTTTTTTTAATTTCTATGAAATGCGACGCCTATGAAGGTCACTTCCGCTCCCTTCCGGCTTCTTTCCGTCGCGATCCTGCTGACGTACCAGCGGTATTTAGTTCTGCGCGAGCTAGCGCGTCTGTTGGCGTCACCATTCTGGAAGAGGTGATTGCTTTCAGTCTAGCTACGGCTCAGTTGGGCTCCTTCTCTCGGCCGCGTCTGCCGAGAAGGACGCTGCGGTCTGGGCGCTGCCGGAGCCGCCTTCGGTCGCCACCATGATGAGACGTACCAGGGTGGAAATCGACCGCTATGTTTCCTCCTTGCAGGCCTCGTCCCCTTCGCCGAAGGAGGTGAGTGAAGGCAATTACGTGGGGGCGGATGCTTTCCGCCTCTCCCCCCCCCCGTTCCTAGACGTTCAACAACGGCCGTTGATTGGATTTCTCGGCGGCTTTTTTTCGAATTGTCCAATTAACGAAGGAGGTGCCGCATGTGCGCGGAAGACTGGACGCTGCGCCTCTTGGGGAACGGAAGGTGGGGGGGCGGAAGCGACCATATGCTGCGTCTTTTCCGGGGCTAAAATCAGGATGAGTCAACTGCGACTTCTAAGTTTCTGATGGTTGGGCTTTGAACTCAGTTGGCTCTTCGTATATCTCAGTGTTTCTCAACCTTGACAATTTTAAGGCATGTGGACTTCAACTCCCAGAATTCCACAGCCAGCATTGCTGGCTGTGGAATTCTGGGAGTTGAAGTCCGCATGCCTTCAAATTGTCAAGGTTGAGAAACATTGGTATATCTGATATAAAAATCTGTCAAATAGAAAACAACAGCAGTCCAGAAAAAGCCAAGCAAAATTTCACTAATTCTTTGAGTCTCAGCTTTAATTCAGGACTAAAATGATCCTAGTGGGCGATTTTCCTAGGAGTGAAGGGAAGAATGCCATTGTGTTGATTTGTCTGGGCTTTAATGATACCAATGTGGTAGCCGTCCGTTCAGAATGGCTTTGAGCATGTAGGATTACAGAAGTTTTAGTCTTGAGAAAGTCAGTCCTGCAAGGGGATTGTCTTTTTTTGTGGCCACTGGCTTAGGGCTGCCTTATCCTCTGCACATCTTACTTGCAACGTGAAACTGCTGGAAGATGTCATCTTCATGTTATGCCATTTTTATTTGCATCTAGAAATTCTTTTGAGACACAACTAGGACAAGGTAGAAATACTATAAGAAAGTTTTGCAACCAACCTTCTGTAATGGGACCCAACCTCGGGAGGGGGGATTCTCTTGGAGTTGACATTAACCAGGACAGGTCAGGTGATGATAATGGCTAGAGAATTGGAATGGTGTATCATCTTCTTTCATTACCAAATGATGATATGCTTTCTTCATTTCAGATTTGCATTAGGCAGTTTGCCCCACAAAAGTTATCATTTTAAAAATATTACCTAGGTAGGTAATAAGGCATTCATCTATAAGTTCAGTGATCCTTGGCATCACTAAATTGTCTATTCCAGGGGTAGGCAACCTTGGCTCTTTTATGACTCGTGGACTTCAACTCGCTGGCTCAGGAATTCTGGGAGTTGAAGTCCACGAGTCATAAAAGAGCCAAGGTTGCCAACCCCGTGTCTATTCCATCTACTACTTACTGTTTCATTGACTTTCTAAAAATGGGGTGTCATGCTTCAAAGCATAAGTTCTTATTTAAGCATAAAATATTTATGTAAAATTTTTAGACAGTAACATGGTAGGTGGTTGCAACCTAATACTTTTCTTGAAACTATGTGACAGTCATTAAGAAAACATGAATTTGCCTGAATAAACACCAAGATATGAGAAGGAAACTCAGAATTGTCTTGCCTTGACTTTCTGATAGGGAGGAAAGGAGAAAATGACAGGCTTTCGAAGTTTGTTATTATAACATATCAGTAAAATAGAGTTCTAATATTACTTGTGGTGTCTGTTTCGTGACCACCTTTACCTCTTGCTTCCCAAGAAAAATACTAAAGTGGAGAGTAGGTAGCCGTTTGAAACACCCTCACAAATTTACCTTGGGATAATGACTTTTGGTTTAGCGATCCATATAGCCATTTTATATGTATGTGTGTGTGTGTTGTTGTTTTTTACATATCACCATTAATATTTGGTAAACAGTGTTGTCTAGGTTTGCATTTACAAATAATCACATTTAATTTTTATGGTTCCATATTCCACATAGTAATTTTTCTTGAATTTCTCTTCCAATAATATTCTCTTTTATCAACCTTAAATTAGAACATTTCTTGGTAATTTTTTTGAAAAATAACAAATGTCTACAAATATTCTCCACTTCATTATTAAGCTTCTTTTCTAATTAATTGTCTAGATCACCTTGTCATAGATCCTGTTTTCAGAGTTCTCATTTAAATGTATTTTCCCCACAATATTCAAAAGAAAGCATTTTTACTTTTTAAAATTTTCTTAGATTAATTACACTTATATATTGAAATATTTTTCCTCAAATCAACCATCCCAACACTTGCATTTTTCATATCGTGAAATAGAAAGGAGAAAGGTCAGAAATAATATACTATCTAAAAAATAAAAACATATCCCTCTTAAACTAAAATACCTTAATAATCAATGTTTCATTTTTTTAAACATATTCAAATCTTCAAAGTCCATTATATTTAAATATTTAATACATTTCCCTCATATAAATCTTCCCACACATTTTTATATTTCTCATATCATATGTAAAAAATACTGTATTGCTTAAGGAGCCTATTCCTCCTAAGCTGAGATTCATTTGTATCCAAAATTTTATTTCTTTAACCATATTCAAACAAGTATTTAATCTTTAAATATTCCATCAAACGAATCCCATCATCTAATTTCTTAATTCTGACTTTAACCCTTTTTTTTGCCAAACAGTTTTCCTAGTCAGTATGTTCCGTTGAACCCCAAGATCTTCCCATGGTTTTGTAGATGTTGTCAGTACAAAAGCTAAGTCAATTAAAGTATTTTTGTGAAAATATTCCTCAGAAATCTTTTTCTTTCTTTCTCTCTTAGTTTTTCCCATCACCTTTTTTCTCTCAAATTCTTGAATTCTTGACGTATAGGTTGTCTTTTCCTTGTCCAGTATTACCTGGAAGCTTTTGTCCACCTGAATCCTTCCATTATTAAATTCCATCTCAAAGTTTCTTTCCACTAGTTTATATTCAGTTGTCTGCTTTACATGATCTCTCTCTCTTTTGTTTTCTGATCATTTATTGGTTGTGATGTTAAATTGAGAATGCATTCATTTAAATTTTCAAATTCATTTTTAATTTCCTCGTGGTTTGAAATTAATGTCATTTGTATTTGTTGTAATATAACATACATTTCCTCCTGGAAAGTATTTATTTTATATATTCTTTCTGCAGACCTCTGATGTTCAATAATGACCAAAAATCCTTTCTCTGCCATTCGCTTTAAAGTTACAGTTTAAAAAATATTTATAGTCCAGGAAGGTCGATTTTTTTCTAAATTTTATAGAGATAGTCCATAATGTTTTCTTTTCTTGTATTTACAGCTGTTCCCTGTTTGGTTAAAGCTTTGAAGGTCACAATAACAAGTTTTTTTCTGGGCTGTATATTTAGGGCAGTATTTTCATCCACCACTAGATGTCATCACCAGCCCATCTTTCAATTTTCAAAACAAATAACTCCTTTATCTCCATCAATAATCTTTCTCCAAGAAACTTAATAAATTCCATCGATTTTCCAAGTTTAAATCTTATAAATTTTATTTCTGTGTATTTTTATTCCCCATAAATTTAATTCACCGCTTCCATTTAGAGGAGGGTGGAACAAAGACCCCCACCCCTCTCACTTTCGGAGGATTTTTACTTCTTCTTTTTTTTTTTTTTTTCAGAAAATAAGTCAGATAGAAGAGAGAATCAATATTCTTACCCAGTTCAATCACACTGTTTATTATCGCTTAATTTAGTGCTTTTTGGCTTCAGCTGTATGTAGCTTGGGCTAGACTCACAGATGACGCTAGCCTTTCTTCTGTTGGTTTCTGGAGAGCTTTCCCCGGACGTTCAGATCGACTGCTGTCTCCCCAGGATCGGTGGGGATTCCCTCCTTCTTTGCCACCCCTCCAGGGTGGCTTTTGGCCCATTTAGGGTCCCCAAACAGAAAGAAATCAGCTGTAGCGCTGAGCCCCGCAATCCTTCGGCTGTCGCGCTAACTGCGCAAAACTGGAAGCCCCAATACAGCCATTTTCTGAGATTGCCCATAATAGTATCTGAAAATTCTAAATATCTGTCAGCCCAAAACAGTTGGAGAACCTCGGAACTAGTTTTTTAAAATTAACAGAAAATAAGATTTGGAATAAATGAGTCTTCTCTGATCTAAAATAAGAATATATCATGCTTTTATAATAGTGTAAACAAGAGATTTGTAACTAAAACATTCAAAATAACAATAGGGCTACCAAATCTGCAGATCCTCATCTTTCACATGGATTTATGACATTAACATGTAAAATTATGTCAGCAAAAAGAATACAGAAAATTGTGTAACTCTTTGTTAGTGTAATCTTGAATATTTGTTTAGATTGTTTAGTGTTTGAATAATGTCTATCTACCTTGGGTGTACAAGTTTGATAAATCTTATGGTTTAAGTAAGTGTTCTCTTAAGTGAGGTGAATAGATGAATTTGCAGTTTGAGTTTTTGTTCATATGGGCTTGTAGAGAAACCACAAACAGCTTTTCATATGACTTTTTACATTTAAGATTTAAGAAGCAAAAAGCCTGACTGTTCATATTTTCACATGGTGGATAATTGCTGCTAAATAAGATTAATAAAGAATAAACTTTATAAAGGAAAATATGATCAATATAAACACTTTAAAAAGTCATAGCAATGAACAGAAATTAACATTTAGTCTAAATGTGTTTGTAATTTCTTTCAAACATCTGAATGCAGCCCTTTTAGGAATGAACTTTCCTTATATAGAATGTGTATGTGTACAATACTTAAAATAGGAATATGTGCATAGAATTCTGAATGTTCCATTTTCTGAGTCAAAAGCAATATTTTAATAGAAGCTGCTTGTTTCTTCTTAGAAATCCATGAAAGGATTCTTTTTTGCTAAGCTGTATTATGAAGCAAAGGAATATGAACTTGCTAAAAGGTAATACATTTGTTTAAATATTCTTCAAAATAACACATAAGCAAACTTTAGATTCAAGAGGCTTCACATTTAACAGAAAAAATCTGGGTCTTGAGAGCATTACATTTTGAAACTCCCTAATGCTTAGTGTGCTGTATGCCACTGATTGATTCACTGCTTCTAAAGGACTTCTGGTTTCTGGTCACCCAGAAGTAACACTAGGGATCATTTTAGCTCCAGAGTTTCTTAGATTTGATCCTCATCTTTCACATGGTTTTCACATGGCTGTAACATGTCATTGGCATGCCAGTTTGTTGCATCTGTGATTGCTAAAGAGATCTTCAGCAGTGGCGCTTGAATGTTTGTGTATCATTTATTTATTCATTTTATTATTAAATTTATTTGCCGCCCATCTTGTATCGTGCTGGCCCTTTGGCGGCCACTTGAATTCCGTTTCTGTTTTTAATCTGTGAATGTGTTTTGGGCATTAAAAAAAACCACTTGGCTAATGAACATCCATCTTTAACGGACATCCCTTACTCCCATCAGTGTTAAATTAAGGCTTTGTTTGTATTTTTAAGATTTTGTTGAAGATCTAAAAGGGTTTCCAGCTTTTCAATTTATTTTATGGTGCAGTAGCTCTACCACGGTGCTGTCATTTTACTATATGCAAAATTAATGATATACATTACTTAATATCAAGTACTGTGATTTTGGATAACTGAACTTATATAAACCTCAGTGCTGCTAGTCCTACTTTAAAGAGAAATTACAAAACTAATGGTATAATTTGTCCTGACTGATCTGATTTTGTCATCAATTGCCACAATGTTAACATGCTGTGTTTTTCCAAAGGTATATATCTATATATCTCAGTGTCCAAGAAAGAGATCCAAAAGCACACAAATTCTTGGGACAGCTGTACGAAGCGGAAAATAATATTGAAAAAGCAGTAGGCTGTTATAAAGTAAGAAATTATGAGTTGGTGCTTTTTCTACATTGGTGTTAGTGGTTAAAGTATGTTTAAATAATAAACTATATTTTGAATATTTCATTTAATGGTAACAGAATTGTTAAGTATACCTTTCTAATACCCGATGCCCAATAAAAGGTGCTGCTTCCAAAAGTGGCAGTACTTAAACATAAAGTATTTATTTCATCAAAGATTTGTTAAGCGTTCAGTATTTCTCAAGCCTAGAAAATTTGTATCTTGTGGCTCCTCAATGGTGTATAGATTGCCCAAATGTTACTGCAGGTCTCAGAGTTAATAGTAATTAAATTAAGTCTAGGAATTTTTTTTCCTGGTCAGTCTACTCTTTCTAAATGCATCCACTGATACTTCATTTGTAGATTGTACATGACTCTTGTCCTGGAAAAGAGCGTACCACTGTTTGGAATTCTTTTGTAAAACTATATTTAGTATGATGTAAAAACTGCATAGGAAGAATTACTGCCCAATGTTAATATTTTCTACCTTTATATTTCAGTCTAACATAATTATACATATTCACATACTTTTAATGTCTCTTTAATGTCTTGGTGTATATTTCAAAACCTAATTGAACACATATTTCATCATTTTAATTGGGGCTTTAGCGTTCAGTAGAATTGAATCCAACACAGAAAGATCTTGTATTGAAGATTGCAGAACTGCTATGTAGTACTGACATTATTGATGGAAGAGCAAAATACTGGGTTGAGAGAGCAGCCAAACTTTTTCCTGGAAGTCCTTCAATTTTCCGGTTGAAGGTAATTTTTTTGTATATCTGTGTGTAACATGACATCATTATATAATCCCCAAGTGGTCTCAATATTTTGGGGGGCATTGGATTGTATGTTGCTTTAGTCTAATTCCTGTTTTGATTATAACATATTCATTGATAGCTGCAAAATTGCAGCAGGCAACAAATAAATGATAGTGTATAGACTGAATGTGATAAACACAAGTTTTGATCAGAAGTTCTAGATGTTATAAGCAAAATTAAATCTGGCAATAACCTAATGGTTTATCAAAATTGCTTATATAATCTGGAGATTTTTTACTAATTTTGAAAAGCAAATTTAGTGCTACATAGCAATAATATTACCTCTTCAAACCGCAGTGGATTCCTTGATCATTTTTATGTTGTAATCAATATTAAAAACTACATATTTAAATGAGTACATTTTAACTGCCATTTTCTAGAAAAAAATACCCCAAAATGATATTATTTATTTTTCAAATGGTCATGCTTTTAAAAAATGTGAAAACTCTACCTTTTTTATCTTTGGTACAGGAAAGCCTCCTGGATCGTACAAGTGAAAATGGATGGAATCAACTTTTTGACTTGATTCAAACAGAATTATACACTAGACCAGATGATGTATATGTTAATATCAGATTAGTAAAATTATATCGGTCAAATAACAGGCTTGGAGATGCTGTGGCACATTGCCAGGAAGCAGAGAAGAAAATATCCTTACAGTCAAATTTGGAATGGTGTTCCTGTGTTGTTCAAACATTTAAGGTTTGTTTACTTGTGTTCTTACAGATATTGAAAAAAATATTCTGTAGGAAATATTCTAGCATTCATTCTTGCTTTAGCTTGAGCAAGCAAATAAAGATAGTTTAGTTTTACATAGCTACAGTTGTTATTGTGGTAATGATATCTCGTGGTTATTCCCAGATGTTGTTATTTCAGTTCTTAAATGGCTTCATAGGTTAAAGATGTTTTGAACTTAAAACTGCCAATTCTAAACAGTGTGGCCAATGGTAAGAGATTTATGGAGCTGAAATATAAAATATCTGGGAAACATCCATTGCCTGTCTACCCTAGAACATTATGCAAAAAAGGTTGAATTTATAGCCTGAAGCAAAAGCATAAAACAGCTCTAAAACAGAATATCAATGAATTTATGAAGCATCTGTGGAATGTGTCTAGTGGCTATTTTTTTCCTGCTTGCAGTGCTTGGGATCCAGGATATTTTACTTTATCCTGTGTAAAATAGAATTTGTTTCCATGAGCTACATTGTGGTTGACCCTAAGCTATTGAGGCAGATATAGTAGCATTCCTTGTTTCAGATGAGTCTGTTGGGAATAACACTCTTCCCAGACCTTAAATGTTTCTTAGGCATTTAAATGGAGTAGTGAGGCACAGTTCCAAAAATCAGCTTTTAGCTGTCCCTTTAAAAAATAATTTCTATAACCTGCATATCCAGTTACTTTATATAAATATTATTGAATTGATTCAGAGCGAACTAAGGTCTGTCTTTGCATAATGAAATGTAATGAAAATCTGATGTTTAAATGGTATCACAATGTTGTTTCTTACTTTGAATTATTTCCTATAGGAATATCTGGAATCTGTAGAAGACTCTGAATCAGATAAAACTAGTTGGAGAAAGATTCAAAGGGATCTTTTACTGGCATACTGTAATCTGGTGGTAATGAAACTTTCTGCTAGAAATGTAAAAGAAAGTAGAGAATCACTTGAAAGGTACTTCACTTTGCATATCTTATAGAACTCTTCAAATTCTGTCCCTTTTTGATCCAGAAGCATTGTGTTTCTATGCTGTCTCTTCAGTAATGGCCCTTTGTCCAGTCTAATATTTTATCAATCACTTTGTCATGTTTCTTGGGGGGGGGGGGCGTTACGTATGTTTCTCTCTACATATTTGCAATGTTGAACCAACTTATTTTTTGTAATATGACCAAATGCTATTTTTACCTGTTACTGTTTTTTTGTTGTTGTTTTTTTTGTAGCTTTGATCATACACTTCATTTGGTAAAATCACATGCAGATGGAAGTGATGAACTTTCTGTCACTTTCCTGGAGATGAGAGGACATTTCTATATGCATGCTGGAACTCTGCTGCTGAAAATGGCCCAGGAAAGTGAGATGCAATGGAGAGCTGTTTCTGAACTGGCAGCTTTGTGTTATCTTCATGCTTTTCAGGTAAACTGTTTTAAACAGCTCTCTGTTCAGATCATTTACATGGTTTGTATTGTGTATACTATGGAAATGGTGGGGACAAAACTTGGATCAGTCCTTATTTTTGCATACATTTTCTTTTCCAAGTTGGTATAGTGACATGTATTGCCTGTGTATATAGTGGTACACAGAAAGGCATATTTCAACAACTTTAGAGTTTTGCCATTCCCATTTCTCTGCCCATTATTTCTCTTCCACAGAAATAGAAAGACAGCAGTTTGAAAAGAGTAGGACTGAGAGTAGGACTTAAAGAAATACGTTCTTATTCACATCCTCTCTGGAGATAAAATTAGAAATGTGAAGAGATTTTTTTTTCTCCCTGATTGCCTCTTTGTATACTTTCTCCAGGCTGAGGCATATATTCTACTCTGGTGTCCAAGCAGAATGACTAGGACAGTGATGGCGAACCTTTTAGAGACCGAGTACCCAAACTGCAACCCAAAACCCACTTATTTATTGCCAGGTGGGCGTGGCCCACTGGATGGGCGTATCTGTGGTGGTCATGGCAGATTGGGTGGGGGTGGGCATGATCACCTCGATGTTGCTGGTGGGGAGGGACGCCTGTGGGGGCCGGGCAGAGTTGGATGAGATCCAGGGGGTCTCTGGCAGGTGGGGCGGTGGGCAGGAGGCTCGTCCTGCGGGGTGAGGCGAGGCAGGGCGGGGGTGCCATTGTCACAGGGCAAGATGAGGCAGGGGCCGGGGCAGCTGCTGCCTGACACCATCAGCCCCCTGCACACAGAGACCAGCGAGCGCATGGGTGCTGGGATGCATCTGGCCATGTGGGACCTCCGTGAGTTAGCAGGCGGCTGGTTGAAGAGGGACGGTTGCCATCTCCGGGGCATGGCGCGCGTGCCCACATAGAGGGCTCTGAGTGCCGCATCTGGCACGCGTGCCATAGGTTCGCCACCACTGGACTAGGATGAAACGATGGGAAATAGCTTTTCAGAAATAGTTTGAAATAGTTTACCAGCAAGGTATAAGAAAAAGAATGTCCTCTTCCTGTATCTTGCTGGCAAACCCTCAGTTGATGTCACCCTCCCATCACAAGACCTACTGGCCATACAAAGCCCTTATAAGCAAAAGAAGACTGACATCCCCTAAATTCTGCTGAAGACGTTACCTAGCCTGGTAACGAAACATTCGGAAACCAACTCACAAGCTCGGAGAATGAACCTTCACCCTCATTCTACAATCAACTACCAATATTCACCACTATCGCAAAGGAATCTCCTGGTTGCAGAAGGATAATGCAACCTAAATGGGGATGTTAAGGGGAGAATGATGGAATGAGAAACAAAAGAGTGTGGCTCATCTCTATTTCTCCTCTTCTTGGATCTATGTGGATTTCTTCTTGAGTCTCTTTATTTGGGGTGGGAGGTGTGTCTTGGTTTATATTTCCTGTATTTTCCCTATGTTCTAAACTTTCCTTAGGCTCTCTTCATTAATTGTGCCTTCAAGTGCAAAAATAATCCTTACTGTACTAAGTTCTGGTTTTTTTTTTTATGAGATTGAGATAATTCTGCATCCAGTAAACCTATCGGTTGTACCAGAAAATCAAAATGAGTGCTGTTTTCAGCCTGTAATATAGTAAGGTTTTATGACTGTCCAGAATATCTGAAGTTTGTGGAAAGAAAATATATTTTTCTGCCAAAGGAATTCCCTATATTTGTCTATAATTTCTAACAGGTTCCAAGACCAAAGTCAAAACTAATAAAAGGAGATCATGCTGAACAAGAAAAGTTGGAAATGTTAGCCTGTGACCGACAAAGCCAATCTGGTAATATAAATTAAAATAGCAGTTTTGTGGAATTAATCAGTGCAACATCAGGCAAAATATGCAATTGTTGAAAGTTGAAGAAGTTTTAAGTAATTGTCACAATTCTAAAATATTAAGTGATTTCATTGGTTTAGAAAGTGATAAAAATCTAATTATCTTGAGAATAGTCTATCCCCTCAGTGAGAATAGATCACATTTCTATTTGGGATATTTTTAGACTTATATTCCTTACTAATGTTAAACATATTTTAAATTTAAAACTAAGGTCTCTGAATTGAAGTTACAGAGTTCTAATTAGTTTTTGGCGCAATAGAATCTATTGTAATTAATCACTGTCTCTTTATTTTTCAGGCTATATGCTATTAAACCTAAGCTATGGCAAACAGGACTTTTTAACAGAGGTCGTTGAGTCATTTGCAAATGAGAGTGGACACTCGGCTTTATTTTATGCTCTCTTTGGGGATGCTTTCTCTAAAGAGAACTCATTTCTTGGCACAGACGATATCAAAAATGTTGGTGCACAGACTCCGGAATGCATAGAACTAGCTAGATATGATATTGGTAAGATATTTGATTTGAATGCTTAATTTTTTTAATGTATACTACATACATAAAGTACAGTTAATTAAACTGTGATTAGAAGTATTTTTAAATAAAAATACTATTTTCATTCCTTTATTATTACGTTGTGTCATATGTCTTCAGAAGTCATATTTTTTTTTTCATAGGTGCCATTAGAGCACATGATGGTAGTCTCCAGCACATCACGTGGCTTGGTCTGCAATGGAATTCTGCACCAGCTGTGCCAGCCATTCGTAAATGGCTAAAGCAGCTTTTCCATTTGCCCCAGGAGACATCAAGACTTGAAACCAATGCTCCTGAGTCCATCTGTATGCTGGATCTTGAAGTAAGAAAACGTTTTCTATATTGAGTTTACTGAAATACCGTGAGCATATACTGTGTTTTTAATACAATTTAACATGTGTATTTTATGAACAGGTATTTTTACTTGGGGTGATTTTTACCAGTCACTTGCAATTACAAGAGAAGTTTAATACTAAGTACACTGAATATCAGCCTCGATTCCTGCCACTGCCAATATGCAAGCAACTTTGTACTGAAAGACAAAGAGCCTGGTGGGATGCGGTTTATACACTCATTCATAAGCAAGCGGTGTAAGTAGTCTAGCTAGTAGATGTTCTTGTGGATATGTCATAGTAACTTTTATTCAGTGGTCAACATTTGATTTTGTTTCTTCACTATCTTCAGATTGTTCAGTACAAGTGGGTTCTTAATTTTATCAGAAATGCAGTATTGCAGGCTAACTCTACCCATTGCCACGAGTTCGATCTTGACCAACTCAAGGTTGATTCAGCCATCCATCCTTCTGAGGCCAATAAAATGAAGATCCAGATTGTTGGGGGCAATATGCTGACATTTGTAAATTGCTTAGAGAGTGCTGTAAAGCACTGTGAAGCTATATATAAGTCTTAAGTGCTATTGCTATTGTTATTGGTCTGGCGTCATAAATAAAAAATTTGGTTGAGAAACCTGCCTTTTATATATTTATGCTATTAGATTTATTTTTTTATTTCTTGTTTATATTTTAAAATAGGTGGGCTTGTTAATCAAAGAGAAAAAATAATTTAAATATTACTCAGCTGAAATTTTTTCTGTATCAATATTAATTTTCAGACCTGGAACAGCAGCAAAAGTAAGACTTCTGGTTCAACATGAACTGAACATCCTCAGGGCCTTAGGAAAACATGGTCTTCAACCATCTCTTATAGTGCACTGGGCAAAAAGTCTCCTTAAAACAGTAAGTAGGTTACTACCATTTTTAGCAAATGTAAAGTTATTGTTTAAATTTGTACAGTTCATGGATTTAAATGCACAGATGTTTAGACCTGATACAATAAATTCAGATTATTGTAATAAAGGTAATAGGTACTGTGTTTTAGTATAAGTTATATAATGAGTGATTCCAACAAATTTCTAGTGAGATTTACATATGATTACTGAAAAGAGCAGAATTCACATATATTTCTGCAATGTGGACAGAATTATGAAGTTATGAGAAATGTGAGCTAGGTAACAGAATTACAACTAATAAAGAATAATCTATGCTGTATTACTCCATAGGGCTGCAGTCTCAATTCTTTCTATGATCAGAGAGAATACATTGGACGAAGTGTTTATTATTGGAAGAAAGTTTTGCCAATGCTTGAGACAATAAAGAAAAAGAGGAGTATTTCTGAACCTATTGACCCATTGTTCAAACACTTTCATAGTGAAGATATTCAGGTAATGAAGATTAAGAATTTGGGGGGGCTAGGCATCTTTCATCAGATCCCTTTTTTAAAGTTATGTCAGTTTCTACTTCTAACTTTACCTGTTTACCTTCCATCCTATAAGCAAAGATCATTCTCTATACTTTAGAACTGGAAACTAAATATCCTTCTTGCTCATGTGCACAAAATTAACTATCATACTGCATAAAATTTCAGTTATTATCCCGTCATAAAGCACTTACGATCATTGTTTCTCAGCTTTCCTGGATAATCTGAAAAAGTTAAATTGACTGAAGAATGGTGTACTGGAACCATGTAGAATTCACAATCATAAGGAATTTTTTTGAAGTTTATTAAAATTTGGTATAAAAATTATCCCTGTGTATTATGGGAATTTTATGTTTGTGATAATGTAGAGTATTGGTAAGTGTGTCCTCCATGACTGACTAATGGTTTACCCTAAACTGATATCAGTGCTTTCTATACATGAAACTTATGGTGTTGATAAAAAAAGGCAAATATATATTCAGATATTTATGTATTGATATGCCAAATGTTAGTGAGCATGATTTCAAGGTCTTTGTGACAGTGAACTGCCCTCCCCTGTATTTAAAGAATGAATTAGAAGTGAAGAACTGTCCATTTTGCTTAATTAGAAACAAGTTTGATAATTCTTCTGCATGTATTACAGTAGTCCTGGAACCTGCCCATTACAGTCGTAAGTTGTAACAGTCATGAAACAGATTGGTCAAAATGTTTTTTGCAGTGATTGTTAAGTCAACAGAGCAGTTGTAAAACGAGCACCGCAGTCATTAAGCAAACACCATGGTCATTAAGCAAATCCATTCTTCACTATGGTATGGTTTTACTGAAAACTAGAAGTGATGATTTTCAGCACAATCATTGTAAAATCTGGTTAGGTAATGTCAGGATAATGAAAATAACTGTTTGCTGAGTACCTGAATTGTGATCATGGGATCACAAAGGGATCCAATCTTGGAACTAAGGATCAGGGTCATAAGTCTCCCCTTTTCAGGTAGGTCATAACTTTGATTGGTCTAGGACTACTTGTACACGTTTAGTTACTCTGTCACTGTTTTTTAGGTATCTTCAAGTTACCATAGTTTGACATTTATAAAACATTTGTATACTGATAAATTGTTCAGTTAAAGCTAACAAATTGGGGTTTTTTTTAGGTTTCTCAGGTTGAAGAATATCAAGAAGAAGCACGTATAGCATTTGCTATTTTGGATGCTGTTGATGGAAAAACAGATGATGCTATGCATGCATTTGAAGCTATTAAAAATGTTGTTGCATATTGGAATCTTGCTTTGGTAAATATGAATTTCAAAATGAGATCTCTCTCTACCATCTTTATGAATGGCATACAAAATGACAATCTCTTTTGGTTTGATAGATTTTCCAGAGGAAAGCTGAAGAGATCGAAAATGATGGTCTGTCACCAGAAGAACAAGAAGAAGGCAGGAAATATTTGAAAAAAAGCAGGGATTATCTCCTAAAGATAATTGATGAGAGCTGCATGGATTCATCTGTCATTGAAAAGGTTCATGATTTAGTTTAGATTTTTAAAAGCATTCTTAGGGATACCCCTATGTGGGAACTTTTTAGGTTTGATGACTTAGTAGGCATAGTTGTAGCTTCCCTAAAAGAGGCTAATATATGGAAACGGAGTACAAAGACGGATGGCATTTGAGCTTCAATATATATTCCTTTGAACTCAATTTCCTGCTCAAATTGAAGCCTGCTTCCCATAACGACACCCAGTTACTTTTCTCAGACCTTCTAAAGTTCTTACCCCATCGGTTTGTTTCTTCAAATTAATAGACACCACACAAGAACTATTCCATTTTATGATCATCCCTTCCAAAACCACATAGTCAACATATCTATTTTAAGCTCATCCCAGGCTTTCTTTTAAATAAACAACTTTAGTAGAGCTCCTCCCATTCAGCTCATTCTACATTACATAAGCACATGCATCCTTTCAGTTCTGTACTTCTGTTGAATTCCAGTGCTCTTCCAAGATTGTTCAGTGGTCCTAGCCTCAACCCAGAGGTGACTTGACTTCTAATGTACTAGATGCTTTAACATTTTGCTGTGGTTCACACATTATAATAACCCATGATGGTTCTTTTGGATTCAAGAGATGTGAGAATCAAGAGATTATGATTTATAAATTATCATAGAAGTTTCAAATCATACTAAAAAAAAGCTGAAAGGTGTAAATTAGAATATTTGCACTTCTATAAAACCTCTGTGGTTTAAGTGCCTATGATTAGCTAAATGCAGTGAGGTAGAAAATTCTAAAATCACACATGCTTTAATCAAAGCGGAACATACAGTTTCTTCAGTTACACAGTATATACTTCCAATGAATCTAAAATCAGACATATACTATAATTTTTCTCTAGTTACCTGTATCCATCAGGACAGTTAAGGAGATGCTGGAAGGCATAATGCAGGATCTTGGAGATAGTGGAGAAGAAAGGAGTCTTGTGAATAATTTGGGCCACCCTGTGGAATCAGAAGTGAAACATTCTACACCATCGCCCACATCATTTTCGCTGTCTCCAAGTAAAAGTTACAAGGTACGTCTAACAAATATTTGAAAGCTAATGCATTTTTATTAGTTTGATTAGTCTAATTGGTTTAACCATTGTTTTTTCAGTTCTCTCCCAAAACTCCCCCTCGCTGGGCCGAGGATCAGAAATCTCTGCTGCAGATGATCTGTCAGCAAGTAGAGTCCATTAAGGTAAACCAAACAATTGTATACTGAGATAAGTTGCAAGTTTTGTTCTAGGATAGCAGTATGGTACATTAATGTTATCAGGCAGAATTGAGATGGGTGTCAAAAATTCCCAAAAATGATATGCAAATGATTATATTATCCTACAACATTTATGATTTTTTTTTGGGAGGATAGTTATTCCTGAATTAAAGCTATTCATTTTAAAATTAGTAGATAAATTATTTAGAAGCCGCAGCTCCTACTTAATCTGATTCAAATGTGACTATTTTGATCACAAATTTGACTAATATAAATACTTTGCTGGACAGAAGACTAATTATGATATTTTTTAACAATTGATTTGCACTTAGATTTATTATTATTAGTGCTACTGAACTTGATTCCCGACCTAGACCAATATCATATAGCTGAAGCAACAGTATCCATATTTAGGAGATAGGGATATCTGAAAACTTGGTGGCTTCCCTTGGATTTTTTTTCTAATACAGAACTATGGAACAGTGGCTGAATTAGTTGAAAAAGAAAGCAGAGAGAAGTAGCTAATGCAGAGTTATATTTATAACCATGCCTGTCCCACTGTTTCAAAATGTTACTTGCTGGTGGATGGAGAGGCTAGCTTAGAAAAGAAGGCAAGGACTCCAGAATGGGATGTGGAAGAAGGTAGGGGGATATGTTTTCATGCTCCTTCTTTTGGTAGGCTCCAATTCTGAGAAAAATGAGCAAAATATATTAGAATGGAGAGAATGAGATGAGCACAAAAGATCATTCATAGATCATTAGATCACTCTCGGACCTGTATTATGGATGCAAGGCTGTATTTCACACAAAATTATACCTGATAACATCTCCCTGTTCTTCAGTACACCTTATTCCTGTTTAATTGTGGCTTTAAAATGCTCAAATTTGGGTCTAATAATCCTTAAATGTTGTAGAGTGTTACAGAAAAAGGTAAAGCCATACAGAGGTCAGATTACTAGAAGAGTTCCCTGTTGCCCCTGAAATTCCCTTTTTGAAGCCTGAATTGATCTGGCCAGCCTAGAAATTTTCAATATAAACAAAATTTTTAATACCAACATTTTGTGGTGAATTCCTCTTTTTATTTTTTCATGATCCACATAGATCCACCGTAGCTTTAATGAAAATTTTACCTCCCTAAAGAAGGCTGTATGCCTTGGTTTCATTTTTCTATTGTATTATGATTTTTTGAAAGTACATTGGTGTTAGGATCACTGATATCAGCCCTCTGCTTTTTCATAGCATGAAATGCAAGAAATGAAACTTAACAACTCTAACACAAATTTATCCAATCGATGGCCAGCTGAAAGCTATGCAACAGAGACAATGCCAGATGGGTACCAGGGAGCACAAAACTTTCATGGAGCACCATTAACTGGCAAGTACATGATGAAAATAAAGAATTTTATTGGAACAGTAGTGTATTAAGCCACAACAGAACAAATTTATTTAGTAGGAGAGACTAATATTGAGATACTATTATCTTGGGGAGAGAAAAAATGGACTGTCATTTTGAGTGGGATGAAACACAGTGATGAGGCCTCTCTTACCATTCAAGAAGCACTTGGGTAGCTGTGTGGAATAAACAGTTTAGAATTTGTAGATGGAGAACATCGTACTTTTTTAAGATGGTTAGAATACCCTCAGAAATGAAAGAGTGGAAGGAATTATACACATTCACCTTCAGCCAAGGATGCAAGGGTTGTTCTCATTTATAAACATGTGTAACAGAGTCAGCAGCAAAGGTCCATGAGTGGCTTCTGGGAGGAATTTTCTCTTGCTATTAAGGTTAGGTTTAAGCTTCCATTTAATTTTTTATGGGTACCATTTAGGTGGGTTTTTTTATTAGCAGCATCCTAAGTTTCCTATTATAGTAGGAATTGCCTATTAGGGTACCTCTAAGGGTATTTTTGTTATGGTTGCCTGTAGGATCAAGATAGGATACAAATTAGGCTTCCTTGAGGTCTCAGGTTCGTTTTGGTGTGAAGGTTGGAGCAAAAGTTAGTTTTAGGATATATTTTTATGGTTATCAGCAGTCTTAAATTCAACTTGCAGTGGGGAATTCTGTCTGAGAATGCAGCCAATTTACAAAATTTGTTTTGACATTAAAGTTAGTGTAAACATGGACTTCCTTGAGCTCCGTAGTTCGGTTGATTTGAGGGTTAGCTTTACATTGAGTTTTTCTGATTAATGGTAGACTTAAACTCATGTTACAGCAGACAGCGCTTTCTGGGAGAACCCATAGAATATATTTGTCAAGGCTCTGGCTAAGGATTCCAACAAAGTAAATACACCAGAGCCATTCCAATCTCTAATGCAAAACTTTATTGGATACAGCATACCGGCACTAAAGAATAGAAAACCAGCTCTGGCAATATGGCGGGAAAAAGATAATTAAAAGAGTAAAACTTTCCCTCCCCTCTCTGACAGGTCAGGTCCCATTGTCCAATTAATCCTCAGGCAGTTGTTATGAGAAGAACATTTCTGTTCGCCACAATATTCCCAGTGGCCTTGGTTCCCATCCGGATAGAATCCACCTATGCATTCAAAACCTTTCCCTCCCCCCTCGCAACTGTAGGCAAGCTAGAAGCAGCATGGCAGTTCTAACGCAAGCAGTCTTCATAGCATGACAATATTTCTTTTGCTGTTAGGATTAGATGTTCTTGAGGCCTAAGGTTAAATTTAATGGAACAGTTAGTTTTTTGATCAATTTTAATAATTAGTCCAATCTTACGTTTATATTAAGATTAGGCCAATCTTACGTTTGCTTTCTCTGAACATTTTATGATAATATTTCTTTTGTCATAAGTATGAGAGTAAGAATTGTGATTAGGTTTTCTTAAGAACCGGGATTAAATTTAATGATACTGTTAGGTTATCGTACTTAGTAGTCATATTCCTATTGTCTCCATTGTACATTTCAGGTAAAGAATTGTTTCTTGGCTAGGCTTCTGTGAGGTTCAAACTAACACTTAACGGGTAGCTTTATGAGTATTTATTAGTATAAATAATCTTAAAATTTTCATATTATGATAGAGATTGTTGCTAGAAGATTTTAACTTTTAATACCTAAATATTAAATACTGTGTTTAAAATTGAGATATTCAAACATAGGACTATAGTAGACTTCCTAGATGTTGATGGTTCAGGTTGAGTGAAGTTTAGACTAGTAAAAAAACCAAGGAAACCTTATTGAAGAGTCTAAATGACCCTGAATCTCTCCTAATATCTCCCTGACATATCTTACTTTCCTTCCTTGGATGGGCCTTTGGAAATGTTCAAATTGCTGATGTTGAGCTTTTGGATCATGCACAAATACTGTTAATCAAAAACTTGATTAGAAATTATTTTCATCTTGGTAATGTAGTCAAGGTCAATTGGTCTCTTTATGATAACTTTGCAACCTCACATTTTAGGGCTTTCACTCATTTAACTCCTACTCTTTGGAATTGATTTCTCCCTTGAATTACCTATAGAGTTCAAAAGCTTTTTAAAAGTTTAATTTAAAAAAGCCTTTAAAATGTTTCTTTTTGCAAGACCTCTGAGAAACTGTAGAAATCTTTTATATTTGTTTTTTTTTTACTATTTGTTGTAGGCTAATACTGAATTTATGTTTTATATTATTTTTAAAAATAACATGCATAAATTTATCATGATACTCATTTATATTATATATAATTTTGATTTACCTTTATTGTGCTTTATCATAATGGCACACTGAATAAATTGCTGCTATTACTAAAGAGTTCTAGGAAGATTTCTTTGAAGATTGATAATGATATCCCAACAGTGAGGAATTTTAATTGGATAATAGTTTGTTTAAGAGGGGTTTTTATTAAAAGAAGTTCTTTAGGGAATAAGGAGAATTTAAGATAGTTTCAATTTATTGATATTTTAATCTTAAAGTCTGGCTTAAAATGATCAGAAGTGCTGAGTATTAGGCTATGCTATCGTATTATGGCATGAAATGGTAACATAGCAAAATTGCAGGGAAATAAGTAAATTTTCTAACTCTGATGTTTTGTGTGTGTTCAGTTGCCACTACAGGACCATCAGTCTACTACAACCCATCACCAGCATATAATTCTCAGTATCTTCTGCGAACAGCAGCAACCAATGTGACTCCCACAAAGGTAACGTTCAGTGTTTCTGGAAAGGGGGGTAAGCTTCCAATTGTATTGTTCATTAAATCTTAAAAAAGTTGAGGCAGTCACATTGTTTGCAAAACACAGTAGAAATTAGCAGAAAATAATGAAAACAAAGCAATTATTAAAAAAAATAAATTTAAGTGTTTGATAAAGAATGCATTAAAGCTAACACTGAGCTTTGTTCTTTTTAGGCTCCTGTCTATGCCATGAATAGACTTACGCCCCAGCAACACATATATACATATCAACAGCCCGTGCATACTCCTCCACTACAGAATACATCTGCTTGTATGTTTTCACAAGAAATGTATGGTGCACCGCTGCGTTTTGATTCTTCTGCAACTGGAATTTTGTCTCCACGTGGCAGTGAAGACTACTACAATTATAGTGTGCCACCAACAAGCACAAATCCACCCCTCCCTGAGCCAGGCTACTTTACAAAACCTTCCACAGCACCTCCTGTTTCCAGATCTGCAGAAACAAAGGGGATAGAATTTGGGAAGGCAAACTTTGGACAGCCTCCTGTATCAGCAGATGGAGCAAAACCTTCATTAATAACTTCTACCCATCCAACCACTTTTAAGTTTAATTCTAATTTCAAATCTAATGATGGTGATTTCACTTTTTCATCACCTCAAGCTGTAGCACAGCCCCATAATGCAAACTATAACAACAGTGACAGTCTATTGGGTCTTTTGACATCAGATAAACCTATCAAAGAGGATCAATACTCAGGACAGAAACCACTCGCTGAATATGTCACAGGACAGCGCAACATATTCAGTTTTGGTGGTAAAAATTCTGCTATTTCTTTAACAGATAAAATGGGACAAATTCAATCCAAGGCCTCTGGATTTGGCAAGGATGATATGTACAGTTATCAAGAATCTGCCAAGCCTGGATTTGGGACGCCAAACTTACATGGCGCAAACAGAAGTCATGAAACAGATGGTGGCAATGTCCACGGTGGTGGTGATGAAGAAGATGATGGTCCTCATTTTGAACCTGTTGTCCCTCTGCCTGACAAGGTTGAAGTAAAAACAGGTGAAGAAGATGAAGAAGAGATCTTCTGTAATAGAGCAAAACTCTTCCGTTTTGACAGTGAATCCCGAGAATGGAAAGAAAGAGGTGTTGGTAATGTGAAAATTCTGAGGCATAAAATAACAGGCAAAATTCGACTACTTATGAGACGAGAACAAGTGCTAAAAATTTGTGCCAATCATTATATAAATCCTGATATGACTTTGAAACCAAATGCTGGGTCAGACAAATCTTTTGTATGGCATGCTTTGGACTATGCAGATGAATTGCCAAAACCTGAGCAACTTGCCATTAGATTTAAAACTCTGGAAGAAGCCATCTTTTTCAAGCATAAATTTCAGGAAGCACAAAATAGTTTGAAAGGTGCTGGATCAGACATTAGTCAGCAAGTGGCTCCGAACATGAGCTCATCAAGAGAAACTGCTACACAGGCTAGGAAAGAGCCTGGTAAAGCTGAAGCTGGATTCTTGAATTCTGGATTTCACTTCAAGAGCGGGGGGACCCCCTTCAGTAGTAGCTCTCAGGTTCCTAGTCCTGACATTAATAGCACAGCAAAAAATGCCAATGCCAGCAGCACTTTCTCAGTTACACCAAGTGGAACTATGCCAGCATCTTTTTCATTTGGGAAAGATGTTTCTGGAACACACACAACATATGGCTTTGGAGAGCAGTTCATGTTAAAGAAAGACCAGTGGGAATGTAGCACGTGTTTAGTTAAGAATAAAATAACCTCACAAACTTGTGTAGCATGCCAGTCTCCAAATCCATCTAATTGGGAAGCCCAGGCTGTACTTCCAGAAGAATCGTCTGCAGCTTTAAAGCCTGGCAGTGAGAGAGCACAGAATACATTTGGGCCCCTTTCTACTGAAGTGAAGAACCAGTGGGAATGCAAGAATTGTTCTCACAAAAATGAAGCAAGTGTTTCTCGTTGTAGTAGATGCAAGAATCCCAGTGGAATCAGCACTCCAACGTTTGGTTCTCAAACCGCATTCAAATTTCGGCAAACAGATACTTCAAAAGATATTTCAAAAGTTCCACAGAGTGGCTTTGGGCCTGCATTTATGAAGAAGGAAGGACAGTGGGACTGTAGTGTATGTTTAGTACGAAATGAAGGCTCTTTGCTAAGTTGTGCAGCTTGTCAGACTCCAAATCCCACTTGTGATGCTTCCTCTCTGTCTGCTAATGGCTCACCAGGTGCTTCTGGCTTCAAGAGCAAGTTATCTGAATCTGCTGGCAAACCACAAGAGACAGGTTTTAAATGTGAAATATTAGACAAGGCTTTTAAATTTGGCTTTGTCACAGAGCAAGAAAACTCTCCCTTTCCAATCCAGAGTCCTGCTTCTACTGAGCCAAAGGCTATAAAGGGTGGATTTAATTTTTCAATGCCTGTCCCCCCAGGAGAATTTAAATTTGGTATTCAGGACTCTAGTAAAGAGGTTGCAAATGCCGAACAAAATAAAGAAGTTAATGTCTTTAAAAGTATTGATGATAAAGAGAAGATCAGTGAGAAAGAAACTGAAACACAATTACACGATGCATGTAACAAACCAAGCAGCGATTTGGTTTTTGGTCATCAGAGCAATACTTTCACTTTTGCTGATCTTGCCAAATCAGGTGAAGGATTTCAGTTTGGTCAAAAAGATCCTAATTTCAAAGGCTTCACAGGTGCAGGTGAAAAACTCTTTTCCTCTCAGATTTCTAAAATGTCTCCCAAGCTAAATACTTCTGATCTTGAAAAAGATGACGATGCATATAAAACAGAAGATGGTGACGATATTCATTTTGAACCTGTTGTTCAGATGCCTGAAAAAGTGGAACTTGTGACAGGAGAAGAGGATGAGAAGGTATTGTATTCACAAAGAGTGAAACTGTTCAGGTTTGATCCAGAAATTAAGCAGTGGAAAGAGCGTGGCGTGGGCAACTTGAAAATCCTTAAGAATGAAGTTAATGGTAAACTCCGGATGCTCATGAGGCGTGAACAAGTATTGAAGGTTTGTGCAAATCACTGGATTACAACTACTATGAATCTGAAACCTCTCTCTGGCTCAGACAAAGCATGGATGTGGCTGGCTAATGACTTCTCTGATGGGGATGCAAAGCTGGAGCAATTGGCAGCTAAATTCAAATCTTCAGAACAGGCTGAGGAATTCAGACTGAAATTTGAAGAATGTCAAAGATTGTTGCTAGATATACCACTTCAAACCCCACACAAACTTGTGGATACTGGAAAGACAGCTGAGCTGATACAAAAAGCAGAAGAAATGAAAAGTGGGTTGAAAGATCTCAAAACTTTCCTTACAGATGATAAAACTAAACTCACAGATGAAGAGAAAACTTTAGTGTCTTCCTCTAACAGTTCTGATCTAGTTATAAAGCCACATGCTGAGAGTACTGGACCTACATTAGAGTGGGACAACTATGACTTGCGTGGCGAAGTTCTGGATGATAGTACTGACAGTTCAGTATATTCAATGCCACGGGCAAGTAGCCCTGTGAGGAAAAATCTATTTAGATTTGGAGAGTCTGCCACAGGATTTAACTTCAGTTTCAAATCTGCACTAAGTCCTTCAAAATCTCCTTCCAAACAGAATCAGAGTAGGGTTTCTGTTGGTACAGATGAAGAGTCTGATGTCACCCAAGAAGATGAAAGAGATGGTCCATATTTTGAACCAGTTGTACCTTTACCTGACCTCGTGGAAGTAACAAGTGGTGAAGAGAATGAGCAAGTAGTCTTTAGTCACCGAGCTAAACTATATAGATACGATAAAGATGCTCACCAATGGAAAGAGAGGGGCATTGGGGATATAAAGATCTTACAGAATTATGACACTAAGCAGGTTCGTGTAATTATGAGAAGGGATCAGGTGTTAAAGCTTTGTGCAAACCATAGAATAACCCCCAATATGAACATCCAGCATATGAAAGGTGCAGAGCGAGCCTGGGTGTGGACTGCATGTGACTTTGCTGAAGGGGAAAGAAAGATGGAGCTCTTGGCTGTGCGATTTAAACTTCAGGATGTTGCGGATTCATTTAAGAAAATTTTTGAGGAAGCAAAACATGCTCAAGAAAAAGACATATTAATCACACCACTCTCTTCCCGTATTAACAGCCCCGAGGAATCTCCCTGTGGAAAGATTGCTGTTGCAGTATTGGAAGAAACCACCAGGGAGAGAACTGATTTAAAGGAGGCTGAAGAAATAGATATTGAAGCTGCAGAGATTTCAGTAGTTGAGGGCACAGCCGAGATGCCAACGAAAGCTGTTGTTTCCCCTCCTAAATTTGTATTTGGCTCAGAGTCTGTTAAAACTATATTTAATAACAAAAAGTCAAAGCCTTTTACATTTGGAAACACATCAGCAACAGGATCACTCTTTGGTTTCAGTTTTAATGCCCCTCCCAAGAGCAAAAGTGATGATTCAGTGTGTCAGACCATGAATCCAAAAAAACCAGATAGCTCACAGGATGCTATAAGTTGCAGACATGCGGAACATCAAGAAAATAGTAATGCTGCTAATTGGAAGCCCTCAGAAGGCCAAGGAGAAACCCCAGTGGCTACCTCAAAAGCAGAAGGGGTCTCTAATTTTTCATTCAAAATACTAGAAAAAGGTGAGCATTTCTTGAATTGTAGTTTACTTACAGCTGCAGCTGAAGTATTTGAAAACAGTATATCTTTGTATCACCTGCTTTCAGAAATTTATGATGTTTATCAATGTACTTTTTACTAAACCTGCAATGCTAAGTTTAAAATGTTTCTGTTGGAGATACATTTCTATAATTGTCTTTAGATTCTTTTTGATATCTACAATTACATCTTCAGGTATGGTATTTAGATGCTATTATTTGACTGCTTTTTTATTTCCTGAAAAATCAAAACAGACGCACCTTAAGTAATGAAATTGCCTAAAAATTTAAGTGCATTTGTTATATGCGTTTCTCATAGATATTCTGTAATTAAATGTTAAGGATATAAATGCAGTTGAATTGCAGCACATAATTCCCAGATTCTATCCAGACTTTCTTCTCTTCATTTGATTCCCACAATAGCCATCTTTAAGGATTAAGGGGCCTCAAGAAAGGCCTAGGATGGTATGGGCAAGAATCAGAAAACTGAATAGAGGTGATTTCATTTTCCATAATACTAACATTAGTTGGATCATACCTTGCTTTAAACCATAATAGTTTGTTAGGTTTGGGGTTTGCATTTTGTATAAACCCACCCATTATAGTTTATACTACTAAAACTCTTTTGTCTGTAACTTTTAATTGGGCGAAAGAGTGCATCATAGGGCAACAGTTTTCGAACCAAGCTACCTCAGCTTAGAGTATGTGTCCAGAATCTGGGACCCAAAACTCTGTATGATTGAAATTTGGCAAATTTGTGATCACTTCAGTGCTGCTATGCTGCCACCCAAAGATTAGACTAGTCCATCAGCTGCTGGAGATGAGGTACAGCTATTCCACCCTAGCCCTCTGGTGGCCAGGTAGACCAGTCCCACCATCAATTGCTGGAGGATGGTCAGGTGTGATCAGGCCAGCAGAAAGTCAGAAGTTGCTCCCACTGCTTTTTTGCTCTTAGTCAATCCATTTCTCTGTTAGGTAAGAAAATATCTGAAATGATGACCCAACGGGTCATGGGTTGTCTAGTAAACTATATAATTGATTTAGTCAAAGCATTGTATGTGAATATAGTCATTATGACTTACTAGCGAACGGCATCAGCTCAGAGTATATGAGCTCTTTGAGCTGTCATTTTCAGTGACAGTAGAAAGTAGAATCAGCATTTTCACCTAATCAGTTCAGTTGGTTGTAATGATGACTATGATGATAAAAAAAAAACTAATACAAACTTGAAAAAATGTAGAGAAGGAATGATTAAAGAATTGCAGGACTCTACAAATTTTGCTGCAGTTAGAAACATAATAAAAAACAATGCAATTTTTGTTGCATATTGTAAATATGCAATATTACTGTCATTTTCAATTATTCATCAGTGCCCATTTCTCCTTTAGTAATGGTAACACAGTATTTATATTAATACAATTTATTTTTTAGGATTTAATTTTAGTCTTTTTAAATCTAACCCAATGGACTTTTGGACAAGTTCATCCCCCTCTCAATCCAGTAGTGAAGGTATTTACTATGAATGAAGTGGTGCATCACTTCTTGGAAATCACTGACAGCTTTCAAATTCTCATCAAATAACTTATTTTAACAGTATGGAAACAGAAAGATTAACATGCATGTGGAAGAAAAATAGACTGCATTGATTTGTGATATAAAGGCCAATTCTTTAATCACTTAATCAGTTTGGATTGTTTAGTTCTTTTATCTTCTAAGCACTTATCTATTGGCTTTCAATTGTTGCTTGACTTATGATGATAAAAATTTAGTAAGGGTGCTTGCTGGTCTTGATGGAAGGTAGAAGGAGCTTGAGAAAATTGTTGTAACTACTATCTTTTTAAAGTAAACTTTGATGATGGGAGTGTAGTGTATTAATATATAGGGGATTTTTCTTTTCCAAAATTCTTTCCAGAGGATTTGCCTTGTTTCTCAACAAGCATGACTACCAAAATACCAATTGCCTACAATCTTTGGTTTTAACTCTATTTTTCTTCTTTTAGTATTTCACAGCGGGTGACTTTTCATCAAATTTAAAAAAATGCAGTGTTAGGAAAAACAAAAACAAAACATTTGCATTACAGATATGATATTCTCAATCCAAACTGGCCCATAGATTAACAGAAGGATTTCTTCTGTTTAGTGAAAGAGTTATTGATTGAAAAGAGGTTCCCATGATAGAAAGCACCAAGAGAAGAGAATATCTGCAGCTCAGGAATGAACTGTGGAGCCTTTACTGATCTCTGAGCTTGGTTGTTTGCTTGCAACATTTCTGTCTGGTGGTGAAGAAAGGAGGAAATCTTCTCAAGAGGAAAACCACATCCCTATCAATATTGGTAGGGCAAACTACTGTATATTAACAGAAAGCAAACCCCAGACTCAGTAGCATTGATGATGTTACCTAGTCAGGTAATGAAACATCTTCAAGCAAACAACCAAGCTCAGAGAGTAGCATGGACTCCACAATAGAAAGCAGTAAAGGAAGACATTGCTTCCTTTCTGTAACTTCTTATTCTATTTTTCATAGGTTCTCCAATATTCCAGAGGAGATTGTTAGCAGGTTGGGAATAGCATAGGAAACTTCTGATAAATATTTCCTTCACAGTCATCTTATAAATAGAATTTTACTCTTTAGATCTTTAAATCCAAACCAAAAATTCTATAAATGCTAACATTCAGATTTTCTAAATTTGATTGAAACAAGAGTTTTTTCATGCTACTTTTCTCCATTATTGGAATGAGAATTTTTGGAACATTCAATGCTACTACACATATTGCAAACTTACACTTTCCTTGCAACCGATCCCCATGTGTGTGCATGTATGCATGCAGAGATAAGTAGAGAGATACATACATATACTCTGGAGTCACGCAATTGCCTCCAAAACTTAGGCACCCCTGGTCAAATGATGTGTCAATAAATCCTTAAGTGACAGAATGTTGACACAACTTCTCTGTGTTAAAATGTTAAATATATTTTCTTGCAAATTTGAATGATACTGTTTTCTGTTGATGTATAGCCATTTATACATTCAAAGGAAAATATTCATGAAGCTGTAATTATATATAAAAGTCCTCAGATCTGAAGGCAAAAGATATTTTATTTTTAAATAATGCACATATAGCCAGGTTCTCTAAAGAGACCTTTTCTATTCTTTATTATCTGTTGAGATATATTTTTTAAATTGGCACCAACTTTCTAGTATTAAAATAGATAATCATCTTAACTGCTGAAATATTTTTGTTAATCCAGTTAGTTAATGAACCAAACATTGTAATTCTGGTTTTCACATTAAAAAGCGAATGACATATGGATATCTGCAGTTTCCATATTAATAGAGGGAAAGTAATGCAAGAAACAACCTATATAAATCTGGCACTTTGTTTGACCTTACTATATAAGCAATTACAAAAACATTTTATGTAAAGAAATTTACATACTCTGTTGTCAGATCTGACATCTCTAGTACTACAATTTTGGCAGGTTTTTTCAGAAATAAATCACTCCAATATGAGTACCCTTAAGAATATAGCCTGATGAAAACAGAAATGTATGTCATTTGTATTTAAAAATAATTATGATGTTGCCACACATCTTGATTCATTTTTCAGCTTATAAAATAGGATTATTAAAAAGTAAAAGCAAAAGATTTTATTAAAGTTGAACCTAATTTGCTTAGTTTTCTTTTTACTAAAGCATTTTGCACTTAATTCTACATACATTCTAAAAATTAATAGCGAGTAGCTGTCTTAACTCTCTTCTTCCCACACAAACTATCTAAACTTTGCTGTCTTTTGCTCTTCTGGAATGCACATGGTCTCTCCTGGGAATCCGGACTACATTCCACTACACGTCTGCCTTGTAGAACTTCGCTTTTTAAAATCAGTGAAATATTTAACCTTGGGACTTGTCCCTAATTAGTTCTGGTCCTGATAACTGATACTTGATAAAATATTGATAAAATATTGATACTTAAAACTAATTTGAAAATTCTGAGTGAACTCCACTGTAAAACCTCCTGTCACAGGAAATTTGTTTGTTAGTTTATTGCAACTTGTATATTGCAAATCCAAACAGGATTCTGAGCTCCTCACACATTGCAGTACAAAAGAAAAAGTTACCATACTGTCAATGAAGAGCAGCAGTAGCACTTGGAATCTATAAGAGAGTTCCCATCATAATAAATCTGTTACAAATTTGATTTCATTAAAATAAATTGGATTCCAAATAGCCAAATGAAGTGGGCACATCCACAAAATTAAGAGTTCAGACCTTGTTTTCTATAAGAGGAAAGATACAGAGTCTAATAAGAGAACAGAGCAGTATGCTGGGTCTTAGGAAAAGGAAAGAGAAGAACACAGCATGGGAAGTCTTGGAAACAACCCCCCATATCCCTTATTCTCACTGTGTTTCCCCAAAGAAGAAAATATATCAGTTCTGGATCAAGCTGTAAAAGTGCGGGCGGGGAGGAACCCTCAAGATCAGGGGTGTCAAACTGCCGACCCACAGGCCGGATGCATCATAGTGAAACCACGCCCACCCCAATGCTGGCAATGGCAAAAAGTCACAATATGTTGCAACACGTGACGTTATATGTGTTAATGTTCTTTAGATTTTAAAACCAGTGCCAAAACTATTATAAAAATTAGTGGAATAGTAACTTTAATATTTTACAAGTTTGATCTCTGAATGATTTATTCAATTTCATTGAATTCCCTAGAGACATGTTTTGAAACAAAGTGCAGAGCCATATAGAGTTACTTTTAGACTTTAGATTTTTTTAGTCTGTACCACTGAAAATGCTGCTGAATTGTTCGGTTGTCTTTAAAGGAATGGATGAGAAATAACATGTGTTTGAATACAGTTGTCTAACGAGAAGCATGGCATGATTTTGTCTTATGTTCTTGGCTGAAAAAAAATGTTATATCAACTAAGCTTTCTTTCTTTCTGAATGATATTACATATATTGTCTTCAGATTAATTATATACTTTGCTTTGTATATGTGCTGGTATTGTAATTTCTGATTTGCTCAAGAAATTAATTTGTAACTTGTTTTACAGTTGAGATTAAGAAGGAACCAAATACAATCCCCTCAGATGATGTATTGATCGTGTATGAGTTAACACCAACACCTGAGCAAAGAGCTCTTGCAGAATCCCTTAAATTACCCCCAACATTCTTCTGCTATAAGAACAAACCTGAGTATCTGAGTGAAGATGATGATGGTAAGGAATATTTCTTGAAAATTATTTATCTTTTACAAGATCCAAGAATAAAAAAGGATAAAGCCTTGACCAATTCAACAAGATTTCATTTATTCTCATTCTTTTCTGTATCAATGTGCTCTTCAAAATAAAGTTATCTGATAATTTGGGGTGAAAATGATAATAGTTGCCCTATTCTTCATCTGCCTCTCTTAAAGGAGGTAAAAGACAAATTCTAAATTATACCCCATCAAAGAGTAGAATCTGATAATCCAATTTGCCAGGCTGGTCTGAGTGCCAGGCTTTGGGAAGTGTGATGAGCATAAGAAAGTGTGAATCTGATCCTAGAGGTCTGTGGATCTTTGACATTTATTGTGGCTTTGCACTTTCTGGGTACTAGTGCATATCTATAGCACAGTTATAGCTTTGATTTCAAGAGGGAAGAGCATGAACTTGATTCAAGTCTGATCATATATAGGTTGAGAAAGCTAATGCACTTCCCTTCCAGCTCAAGCTGAAAAGGAATATTAGAAGTGTCTGGAAATCTTTCTGTGTCATAAAACTCTTGAATGCTGGTCATGCACTTTTTTTTCCTGCAGCAGGTTCAAGGACAAGGATTTGTCCCTTGAAAGTAAAGAACCTTGGCAAATAAAATTGTTTTGAACTGTTAAAGCCAGTCAAATTTGTTTTTCTATTTCTGCCTCTGAGGAAAACATAAGTAGTAATTAGGGAGACTATTAGACTATCTGTGGGTTCTCCTTTCCAAGGTTCTTGGGCTTTCTTTATTGCTGTGATTTCATTTTTATGTACAACAGACATTATCGTTTATTGCTGATTTTTTTAAAAGTGATTCTATACATGTAAACTTCAGTTGCAAGTTGATGTTGTATCACTCTCTGGTTGTTTTCATATTTTAGATGAAGACTATGAAACAGCTGTCAGAAGGCTTAATGGAAAATTGTATTTAGAAGAACCTAAAGAAAACTCAGAAATAAAGAATACAAGTAAACAATATTAATCTAATATTGACCTCTTCTGATAATTTTCTGCTAGAGCACTGATTTTCAGAGTGAAATGCATTTGGAAACTAATAAAATTTAAATTTATTGTCACTTTACTCTTATGTATCTAATCTTATAGAATCTTATTCCACATCCATTCAGATGTGGAAAGAGAAATGGTTTTGTTTGAATTCCAGAACTTCTGAGAATTGGCCAGATTTCCCATTGTACTCTTAAGCTGTATGGGGGAAAAACTCTTCAGAGTTGGGCAATGTCGCAGGAAGAGCTCTTCACCAACTGCAGTTGTTAAAACAGCTCTATTGTTCAGAATGTAGCAATACAGAAGGAAATGACTTTGTGACTAATATTTTAGACTTTGTGATCCTTAGGAGTTGTGAGGTCTGATTCCAGAATTTATCTTTCAGACAGTTTTGTTTTGCTACCAAAGGTTATGTTGATACTTCAGCCTTAGGCTGAACCTGTATTGTTTCTTAAATGTCTCTTAATTGTTACCATAAATGAGGCAGACAATTTTGTGTCCTTACAAGAAGATTCATCTTGATTTCCATGTGATTCCAGATGCCCCTGTCTGCTCACATTGTTTCCAAAGTATGTCACTACTGTATGTTAGTTTGACTCTTTGTAAGAGCTTTCTCCAATTTACTTAGCATATTTAGAAGCTTTATTTTGTTAGTCTATTTTGCTAATGTTTTCTATAAATCATAATGTATTATCTGTTCAGGTGCTGTAGAACATATTGATCCAGAGACTAGGAATGTAGAACACCTTGATCCAGAGACTATTGTTGTTTGGGAAAAGAAACCAACTCCTAAGGAAAAAGCTAAAGCAGAAACTCTAAAGCTTCCTCCAACTTTTTTCTGTGGTATTAACAGCGACACTGATGAAGACAATGACAACTTAGAAGACTTTGAGACAGAACTTAGAAAAACTCAAGAAACAAAAGTAAGTAACAGAAGAATTAGGTATACTCTCAATGCAAAGTGAGTTTCTCGTAGTTTTGATGTGTTACTTTCACTTTACTGTTTCCCAATTTCCTCCATATTCGAGTTCAATCTGCTGTTTATACTTTGTTCTGGTGCTACAACATTCCTACCAATATAAAAATATGTGTACTATACATAGGGCTGCAGTCAGGATATTATTTTTCCTGTGCTTGTTGAATGTAAACTAGGGTCTTCCATATTCTTCCTTAACTCAAGAATTGGTCATTTACTAACATTAAGTTGAACAGCATAGAAAATTCTTATGATGTGACTTGCAAAAGCTCAAAACTCAGTAATCCTTAGGATATTATCTTTCTTCTGTTGCATCTGGGTAGGTTCATTTGCATAAAATAATTCTCAGCATTTTTAGTGCTTATTCTGATTGTGGAATTACTATGTTTATGGACAACGGTTTGGATTTTGTAACCTTTTAATTCTTTTTTACTAATGTAAGTATTTAATATGAAGCCAAGATAAATTGGTTGTGTACACACTATCATTACCTGAACCATGCTTGGGTTTCAAGTATTATCTGATAAAGTTACCTAAACAACCTTCAGGTATATGTTACATTAAAAAAACACCAATAAAAACAAATGTGGTTTCATTTTTCAGGAATCTCAGGCAGAAGAAATAACTACTTCAACTGACGATGTGTGCTCCGGTAAGGAAGAAGGACCAGATGTAGCCAGCAGTATTCCTGAAGCATCAGATTCTACAACCAACCCTATGTATACTACATGGGATACATTAAGAACAGATGGCAACTCTACTCCTGAAACTACACACACCATTCAAAATGTATTAGCAACAGATGACAAACCTGTTGATTTATCAAATAAGAAGGAAAGTGATTCCAGTTCTAAAGCATCTGTAAATCAAGGTATATTTTTCTATTTGATATATGAAATGTCAAAAGGGCTATGCTAGACAAAAATAAAAAATTAACTGTAAACATAATTCCAAGTTCATTAAAAGTTGATGTCCATGGAGGTCAAAGAATTTTAATGGGAAGCACAATTTGTTCAGATGGCTTTTATGCATGCATAATGGGATGCCTAATGCTTTAGCAGTATCCTAGTAGTTCTCGACCTATGACCACAATTGGGACCAGAATTTTGGTTCTAAGTCATTGTAGTTGTAAGTTGAGGCACCCTGGGACTGGACCTGATTTTCTACTGTTTTTACAGCAGTCATTAAGTGAATCACACGAATACTGGCAAAAAAAACCCACAGGAAGTCAGCAAAAAGTGGTCATGTGACTGCAGCAACCAGTCATAAATGCAATTCAATTACCAAGTGCCCAAATTGCAGTTGTGTGACTGCAGGGAGGGTACGTTTTATGATAGCTGGAACTGTTTTCTAGGCTGCAAAGCAATCTTTCCAAGGTCATTGAAACTCATTAAAGAACCAGTCATAAGTGGAGGATACTGTTATCTGCACTTTGGCATAGGGTTAGGGTTAGGGTTGCAGTTGTAGGATGAAAAAGAAAGCTTCTAGTATACAGTGGATGATAAAATTGTACATTTCCTTTTTTTGTAGAGAATAATCCCTTTTCCTTTGCTCTTCATAACATACCGAGCTTGTCATTTGCTGATCTGGCTTCAAGCAATTCTGGGGATTTTGAGTTTGGTTCCAAAGGTAAGATATACATTTTGTTTATCAATCATCAATGTGAGAAAACTAGCTGGAGTTTTTAATTTTAAAAATTGATAGGAAAAGTGAACTGATGTCATATAAAAGCTTTAATATCCTTATTTTCTCATCTAAACAGAAAAAAACTTTAAGTGGGCAAATACAGGAGCAGTTGTATTTGGAGTACAAGCAGCCACTAAAGGGGATCATGATGATGATGGAAATGATGAAGAAGTGGTACATAGTGATGATATTCATTTTGAACCAATAGTCTCGCTACCAGAGGTAAGTTTTCTAATCAGAATCTAAGAAGGAATATATCTGTTTAGTCAGTTTCCTGGCATAAGGTACAATATTGCTCCATTTATTTGTCAACTATTTATTTTCATTTGTCAGTATTGATCTTGCATGAAATAAATGAAAAGATTAAGAATGAAAAATAGGCACTTAGCCTATTGTGTTATTGGATTAAAATATCAGAATTCTGAAAGACTAACATGGTTATATGATATATATTGCCTTTTTTTTAAAAAAAAAAAAAAACTAGACATGCTTCTGTGTGTGGTGTGTGTGTATATGCAGGGTTAACTGTGATTGCTCATTGTAAACTATAAATATTATTCAGACTGGAATATGCCATCTTCTCCCAAGTGGAATCTGACCATGTTTTGAAGGAGTTAAGGGGTTTTCTTTAGTGTTTTCCTGTTTGGCTAAAGAAACTGATACTGATTGTGTCTCATTCAGCCTTAAACTGATTTCTCCATTGCAATGTTGGAATTTTATCTGCTTATTCTCTGTGTCTCATATGTTAGTGTGATTTAATCTGCTTCTACTTTAATCTTTCGGCTAGTTTATATGCAGTGTCAGCTCTCTTAAGTTTGTGTCACATACAATGATGATAAACTATACAATTCCTCATATAGTACTTCTACTTTGTCTTAATTGGACAGACTTGTAGATAACATTTAATTGTCAGCTTTCTAAAATGTCTTGTCATTTAGAACTCCACTAATTAGCCCGCAAGCCTTATCACTCTATCCTTCCAATTAAACATTGCTGCAGTGGTGTGATTCAACGTGATTATTTATTCCTGCTAGGTTGAAGTAAAATCTGGAGAAGAAGATGAAGACATTATCTTCAAAGAAAGGGCAAAACTATACAGATGGGACAGGGAAGTCAATCAGTGGAAAGAACGTGGTGTTGGAGAAATAAAGATTCTCTTCCATACACAAAAGAAATGTTATCGAATTTTAATGAGAAGGGATCAAGTTCTCAAAGTCTGTGCAAACCATATAATCACAAAAACAATAGATTTAAAACCCTTGAATTCTTCAAACAATGCCATGGTTTGGACTGCAACGGATTATGCTGGTGAGTATTTTTGTTGAGATGTCCCATAGTTTCACTATCCTTTCTACTATTTTCACAGCAAGATCACTGCTATTATAATACTTGAATTTTTATTTCAGATGGTGAAGCTAAGGTAGAACAGCTTGCAGTTAGATTTAAAACCCAAGAATTGGCTGATACCTTCAAGACGAGATTTAAAGAGTGTCAACTGATTTTGTCGGAACAACAGAAGGGACACATATCTTTTGCAGCAAAATTTTCAAAGGAATCTAACCCTATAGTATATCTTGAAATTTCTGTTGAGGATGAACCTCTGGGGCATGTAACAATAGAATTGTTTTCCAATGTTGTTCCTCGAACCGCTGAGAACTTCAGGGCATTGTGCACAGGAGAAAAAGGATTTGGATTCCAAAATTCTAGATTTCACAGAATAATTCCAGATTTTGTCTGCCAGGTAAGTTAAAATAATTCAGAGACTGATCAGAAGGATTTTACTTTTCAGTTTTATCGTCCACTTGTTGCTGCATAATTTTCTGAGTTTCTCAGGAAATTGTGACTCAGAAAAAAATTAGTTACTATTTCAAATTCATACCTGCATTTTTTGAATTGGAATCAATTTAGATCCAATACAAAAAAGCTTATCAAGACAGAAAATATAATCACAAATGAGAAAAGCAGAAAGAAAAATTCTTAACAGTGGCATAATAGAATTTATTTGAATTAGTAATAATAAGTAACCTTCCACCATTGATTATTTATTTTATTTTTCAAATTTATATGGCTGCCCTTCTCTTAGGCTCTTAGGCTCTCCAGTAAAAAATGAAAATAAATATAACTGGAAATTATAGTTGCATTTAGGATTTTTGCAATTGTGTTTGAACAGTATTGAATTTTCGGTCTAAAAGGTGACCTAAGCTTTTAGCTTTGGGTTCATAAATGTAAAAGCAAAACATACTTTATTATTTGAATGCTGCCAATTATATGAATAGACTTAATATCCTTCATTTTTTTAATCAATCGGAATCCTATATTCCATTGTCACAGAGAGTAGGGATTTATTTCTGTTTAAGGATGCATTATTATTGGTAAACATGTTTTAGTTGTATTTAAGATGTTTCCACCTATTACATATTTTACTAAATTTTCTATTTCTTTCATTCCAGGGAGGTGACATCACTAAGCATGATGGCACAGGAGGACAGTCCATTTATGGAAATTCATTTGAAGATGAAAATTTTGAAATAAAACACACTGGTCCTGGCCTATTGTCAATGGCAAATCAAGGCAGAGATACCAACACTTCTCAATTTTTTATTACTCTCAAAAAGGCAGAACAGTTGGACTTTAAACATGTTGTCTTTGGGTTTGTAAAGGATGGGATGGATATAGTGAAAAAAATAGAATCTTTTGGCTCTCCCAAAGGAATAGTGTCAAAAAGAATTGTGATTACAGATTGTGGGCAAATATAAAATGATTCTGCTGACATATTCAGAGATTTAAAAAATCTTCAGCAGATTTAGACAAGATTATGTTCAGGGTTTTTTGTTTGTTTAAAAAATGAACAACTTCTGATGTATAAATGTAAAGTTACAGCTCATAGCTGAGTACTTTTTAAAATGTGTTGCAATTGCCTGCATGTTGTGAAATAAACGTTCAAACACTAGTCTACTTCAGGTGTATTTTTGTTTCCTCCTGATTTTGTATTAAATAATTTAAAATGAAATCCCAGGTGTCTGGAGTTCTGTGTTTCTGTATGCTTCTTGGATCAATTGAATTCAAATAATATTACAAGATACTTGATATTTCTATATTACATATATTTGTATTAAAGAATGATTTCCTACAGCAAACAAAATGCTGCAAAAGATTGAGCTGCTCAAGTGGTGATATTTAATTGCCTTATTTTGATATTTAATGTCTTAAAAAACAGGCTACTGCCTGAAATTATAGGTGGTGTGTATATGCTTTTGCACTGGAAGTAATAGCAGTTGCAAGTTGCCAATAAGAACTTTAGTGCTTAAAGCAAAATCGTACTCAAACCAAAAGGAACCTTATCCTCTTATCAGTTCTGTCTCTTATCAGTTATAATTGCTGGTGACAACATCTGGTAGAACTTAATGAGTTTGAAGGCTTGATTGGTACTTGGAGTGCCAGGCAATTCAAGGGTTATGTCAATGCTGCTAACATCAGGTATTATTGCTTTGACAGATGGAAATGCATTTATTTTTCTCTCGTTTTTAGAGCTGATTGATGCTGGGAGGGGGGATGTGGATGAGAGTCCAGTTAGTCATAACAATTTCAAGTCATGGAAATTCAAGGTTAATGAGCCCAGAGCTGATAACGATTTGGCGGGCTGGAGAGCTGTGAGCTGTGGAGAGAGCCCGCGTTTCAAGCTAATTGGGGAATGTGATTTATGACCGTTAGTTGTTGGAGGAGGGAATTGTGCTTTGCTACTTTGTGCCAAGGGGAGGGGAATTCAGTTTTTGGCTTCAATTATGTAGTGCCGATATGCTTCTTGAATAAAAGATTCTTTAAGGTAAACAACGCCTTGAAGTTCTTTTGAAGAGTTTCATCTGTCGGAACCATGACAGGTTATTGGTTAAAGTAGGAAATACAGGGGAAAAGATAATGGAAGATGATGACAAATCACTTCCATACTGTTGTGATCTCTCTGTTTGCAGTGTTTCTCAACCTTGACAATTTTAAGGCATGTGGACTTCAACTCCCAGAATTCCACAGCCAGCAATGCTGGCTGTGGAATTCTGGGAGTTGAAGTCCACATGCCTTAAAATTGTCAAGGTTGAGAAACACTGCACGGTCTGTTGGGTCTAAAGACTGGATCAATATCCCAAATTCAAAATTGCTTGTAGTGCTCATCATTAAATTTGATAAGATGTGGAGAAAAGGTACCATTGCAAGGACGTGAATCTCTATAAATATCTTTGAGTGGGATGGCCGTCGTGGTTCAGAATTTAGTACCACCGCAGTTTTGTGAAGCATTGGAAAAGCAGCCCAGATCAGCCCTTTCAGTAGCCGAAACAGAACGCCAGCGGCCCGGACGCGGCTTAGCCGGTTGCCCTGGAAACAAGGTCGCATCCGACAAGATGGAGGCCGAGCAGTCCCTTCACGCAAGCGCATTGCACTTTATCTGCCTCTCCTTCCTCCACCTCCCCGGCTCCCCTCGCTGGCGGTTATAAAAGGCGGGGGAGGGCAGCGGGAGGAGTTGCCTGGCTGGCTGGTTTTTCTCCCATGGAGGCTTCCTCAGACCTGAGCAGTTCGGTTGAGCGTTGGAGGAGACGTTATCTGAGCAGAGAGGTGGGGATACGCGAGGGAACTTTGAACACGTATAGCTCCATCCTCACGAGATCCGGACGTGGGGTGGAGTTTGATAGAAGCGTGGTTATTCCTAAATGTTGGTTTTTGCCACGTCCCTGAAGTACTTAAAGAGTTGGGAAGATAGTGGGCACGAGTTCAGAGGGACTCGTTTTTCTTATGGGTTCCTGCACGGTACAAAAGAGATCAGCTTCGAAGCATTATCCAAATTTTGTTTGGGGAAAAGGTAATTTCTAGCGGATTTGTGCTCCTTATTTCGAGGCTTGAACTGTTGGGGATTGACATCAAATCTTCCTATTAACTCAGTGTTTCTCAACCTTGACAAATTTTAAGGCATGTGGACTTCAACTCCCAGAATTCCACAGCCAGCAATGCTGGCTGTGGAATTCTGGGAGTTGAAGTCCACATGCCTTAAAATGGTCAAGGTTGAGAAACACTGTATTAACTGGTTCTTAGTCAGATTTAGGACCATTGTTTGAAAAGGATTTTAGGGTGTCAGAGACTTAAACGCCAGAGCAAACGACCAATAAAAATCCTGAGTATGTAAGAAGCAAACACTAGATGATGCTCCTAATTCTGGTATACACTTCCTTTTTCAGGGTTATCTTTTGGATGTAACACAAGCCAAAAACAAAAGTAGAAGAGCCCTGATAGCTGCAGGTAAGACATTTAAAAAGACCGTGTAGTTTGTTAACAAGTAAAAGTACAGTAGAGAGCTTTTATTAAAATGTAGTTGTATCTCTCCATCAAAAGCAGTGAGTAAGGATTTGTTAACAGCAACTTTGTCTGCACAACACACTAAGTTTACTGAGCACATCCCACTGAATTTACCCAATTGCCTAACTTCAATATATGAATTGAAAACTGATCATGTTCCTACTATCAGTGCCAACCTTCCTGCAAGTGATGCTGCTCTATCATTTCAAATGTATGAAAATGCATTTCAAACTCTGAAGTTATGACTGAAGACTGTATATAAGTTTAAACACACAAACAGGTCTTTCGGTTTACATATTTTTTAGAGTAACTAAGATGTCAGTGAGAAGTGCCTCTAGATCTGGGCCTTGACCATGATGTTCTCTTGTGCAGATACATAATGAAATATTTCTATGGAAAAATGGAATCTAGTCAAGGGAATATTAACTGGGGGGGGTTGTAGAGTTTTTTTGAATGGCCTTAAAAGAGGACATCAGGTTTGAATCCTAGTGGTACATGTTCTCTGAAGGTTAAAAAAAAAAACCAAGTGACAGCATATTGATCTCTGCCCACTGGTGATACCAGTGTTGAAATGTTTGCTTGAAAGTGGGTAAATTCTATGTAACAGGATAACATATTTCTGGTTTGTTGATCATTTAATAATTATGCAACTCTAGACATTAAAATAAAAACTAGCTGCCCACTCCATATCTTAAAATTTCAATATCACACAGTAGAGAATAATATTCTGACATTTGTGAAGAACATTATGTGAAAACTTAATTAGATATGGCAGGATTTGTACTGACCTAAAATGATTTATTATAACAGTTTTTTCACAGCAAATGCCAGCACTCCCTTAAACCTGGTTGATCTCAAAATAGCTAAGCTGATTAGACTGGTTAGAACTTGGGAGGGAAACAACTGGGAAATTCTAAAGCTAGATTGGAAAGTAAATAGCTCAGAAGAAGACAGTGGCCAACCACTTCCATGTTTATTGTCAAGAAAACGGATAGGCACATCCATGTAATCACCTAAACTTGAGCCTACCTCAGGAGGGACTTTGCATGTCACATTTTCATAAAAGCAAATTCTGTTTAGAAAAAGAAGACAGGCTTAAGATACAGAAGGATCTGGACAGACTTGAACACTGGGCACTATCTAACAAAATGAAATTCAATGGTGAAAAGAGCAAGGTTCTACATTTAGGCAAGAAAAACCAAATGCACAAGTACAGCATAGGTGGCACCTTGCTCAATAGTAGTAACTGTGAGAGGGACCTCGGAGTCCTAGTGGACAATCAC